TCTGGTTTTTGTTTTATTTATTTTTAATGGTTACAAACATTTAAATAATCAAAAAGCATGTCTAATCAATTGAATTTATAACACTTTTAACAATTATTATTTATTTTTAGAATAATAAAGCCCTATTAAATATTTGAGTTTCAGAAATTTAGTTTGTTTTATTTTTTTATGTAAATTTATCATCATAAACAGTGGAAATCAAATGAAGGCATAAATATGATTTTATAATTATTATTGTTACTTTGACAGTTCCATTCTACTGTACAGTAGTAGGCAAATATATTTCTGTCACAATTTCTTCAAGTTAAAATGAACTTCTATTTTGAAGAGTTATTAAGACCTTTGATTTTTACATTCTAATACTAAACTCACTGACTTGACTAGTTACTGTAAGTATCGTCACAGTGCTAGATTTGAGACTTGTCTCTTGCACTACTAAATTAGCATTATCTTTACTATTGCTGACATGCTGTATTTACCTCTTGGTTCTGTTTTCTTTTGTTCTTTGCACTTAAATGCTACTTTTATAAAGTGTCAATGAGTATTTGTTAGGAAAGCAATGATATAATTTTAAATGTCAGTTTCCTACCATGTCTCTCCACAGTTTTCACAGTTCATCAAACAGCAGGTATCAGAAGGGAAAGGCCGTCTGAAACCATCTCAAGATGCGGACAGTGTCATCAATGACATGTTCAAGAACCAGGACAGGAACGCTGATGGGATGATCACTCTGGATGAACTCAAACTAAAATCAGATGAAGATGCAGAGAAAGCACGTCACGAAGAACTGTGAAACATACACAAACACATGTGAATGTACAGTACATGCATTCAGACAGAGAACAAAGGAACAGACTCATAATCCTGAGGCTGAAAACCAGACCAACAAGCTTTTCAGTATTAAAAGTGTACATTTCATTGTTACATTTTTTATATACTTTTAGATAAAAAAAAAAATCAGATCTCTAAATGCATTTGTGCCATTGAATAAAAGTTCCAAACTAAAGTGTTGGCAAACAATTTGTTTTGAAAAAAAAAAAAAAAAAAAAAAGATATTCAAGTGAACTATTTTTGTTTGATTTTTGGACTGAAAATTAGTGTTTACTTTAGTTTTTATGGACTTCTTAAAGAAATTATACTTTGCTAAGTGAATACCTAAATAGGGAAAGAAATAGTAAGTAATAAACTACAAGTATGGTGTTAGGTTCACTTAAAGAAAGTATAATTGCAGTATAAAAACTAATAAACTAGTAGTTTACTGAGAGTATACTTCAAAAACTAAAAAGTGGGCTAGTATAAAGCTAACCGTACCTATTTCCCTTGTGGTATAGTTAACAGTATGGTTGCAAAACAACATCAACACTTGGATGTAAACTAATTGTGTACTCAAAAGTTTACAAAAAAGACAACTTTTAAAAACTAAAACGTGTTTAAAGTGTACAATTTCAGTACTTATTGTTGTTGCCAATAAGTAATGAAATAGTACACTTACAAGTATACTAGTACAACGATTTTACAGTACTTTCTACATGAAGTATACTTGGTAAATATAATTGGAGTTTATTTGAAGTTTATTTTTTAAGGGTTCTTCATGCGTGATGGATTTGTTCATTCTTCCTATTATAATGCTCTTCTGTGATGGATACTTTTCCAGCTATAAATATTTTCAGTGGGAGATTGTAATGTTTTAAGCCTATAAGTAGACATTCAAATTTTTTGACACCTTGCTGGATGTAGTGTTGTTTAATATGGTACCTTATCTTTGATTTGGTTTCTACTGGACTTTCTGTATATAGTTTTGTGTCCTCTGTTCGCCAAATATTAAATATTTAAATGAAAAACACACTTAAATGCCAAATGGTCTGCTCAATGTGACATTTCTGCGACATAATCTGGGCATTAATGAGTTAATGCGAAACGCACTGTGGTGAGGAAAAACTACCTAAGATGTTTAGATAGGGGGAAAGTTCCAGCAGGAAATACTGATATTGTATTTCACCAAAACACATCGTCACGACACGTTTTCACAGACAGGTCTTAGATTAAGCCAGTAGAAGTTAAAGGGATACTCCGCTTTTTTTTTTTTTTTTTTTGAAATCGGCTTATTTTACAACTCACCCAGAGTTAAACAGTTGGGTTTTACCGTTTTCGAATCCATCCAGCCGATTTTCTGATATTTATAAGAATATCAGTTACAAGACAGTTTCTGGTCTCATTGACTTCCATAGTAAAATGAGCCTATTTCCAAAAAAAGTGGAGTATCCCTTTAAATTACGATTTTTAAGTATCTTTTACTAAAAAAAAAAAACAGTGGTGTGCAAAAAATGGCAATGAGATATTTCAGTGCAACTTGCTTTCAGTAAAAACAGGTCAAACATGAATTTTAGTGTGAGACTAGGCATAAACCTTGTCTGTGAAACTAACAAATGGTCTTCTAACTCAAACCATTTGGCTCTAATAATTAACTTTCTATTGCAAACGTTGTGACATTACTATAGGGTGATGGATTAGTATCACAAAATCAAAAATATCTGTTTGACTTTCTTGGTTTTACAGTATGGCACAATAATGTTACTCCAGACTTATTCCATTTGTTCTAGCCAGTGAAATGTAACAGTAATGAACATGACATGCTCAGATGAACCAACTGAAGCTTGTTGTAAATCTAGTTGAGGTTTTTCACACTGCTAATCATTCAATTTTTAGTGTCGAACACGGACTACTGTAACAGAGAAGATTCTCTAAGCATCTGTAAAAAAAAGTATTTCCCATACTAGTTTGATACTCAACCCAGTTTGGCAATAATCATATTGCCATTTGAAAATGCCTCAATCAATCCATAATTAACGAGTTACACTGCATCCTGAAACATTTTCTTCATTGCACTTCAAGGGTGAGAATCAACTGGGGTAGAAGAACGACTCGTGGACATGATTCGATTTTTAATAAATATTTATTGCAAATCACTGAGATCCACAACATGTGCATACTTTATAACACATGCAACAAAACTATACTCGCCCTTGAAAGACTTTACAACAGCGAGAACGGGACAAGGGAACATCCCAGCTTTGCTACTCTTATTGTCAGACACTTGTCCATCGACACACACACATACACACCCCTTTCCTCTGTGCATGAAGGAAAGAAAACTGGTAGAGTTTAAACACTATTAAACCACATCTCAACATGAGAGACACAAAACGTACATTTCCCATTGAGTAAATACAATATCTACGATTCTACAGTCTCCAATATGCAGGAAAATGTTTGAAAAAAGCTTATTAATGCATGTTCAGTTTTTTTTTTTCTTTTCTTTTCTCGTATGATATGACTGAAACCGCACAAGTCAAGACGAGAGCTATAGATACATTGTCAAAAGCCGTTTCTATCTTGCATTTAGTAAAGATTTTAACATCGCAGCGTAACATTAGGTCAGCTAAGATGACATTCCTTAAGACTTTGGTGTGGACAAAATAACAGTAACATGTTCTTCAGGCAAACATTGTGAATGTTTAAGCTGGTCTTGATGGTCCTAATGATTGCTTCACAAGTTTTCCTCCAGTGAAGTGAACTGAGATTTCTTGTAAGACACTAAACATCACACATTGAAAAAGATAAGGGAATGTACAAAAGAATAAACATATTCTAATAATAAATATATTTTGCAATAAGGACAAGGAAGCAGTAATGGTACCATCTGTCTGAGCTATATCAGAATTAGGAATGTACACTGAAGAAAAAACGACATTGTTCAAATCAGACGTTAAAGGAGTAGTTCACTTTAAAAAAAAATGTATGCTGTTTATTTACTCACCCCATGCCATCCAAGATGTCCATGTCATTCTTTCTTCAGTCGAAAAGAAATTAAGGTTTTGATGAAAACATTCCAGGTTTTTCTCCATATAATGGACTTCAATGGGAACCAAACGGTTCAAAGGGCTTTAAACGATTCCAGACGATGAATAAGGGTCTTATCAAACGAAACGATCGCACATTTAATAAAAAATAACAAAGTTTAAGTTTCATAAGCTCAAATGGTCGCCTTGCTCTGTTCTGTGATGAGCTTTCGTGACTCCTGTTATCAAAATGAACGAGTCTTTTTTCGTGTCATTTGATTCATTCAATGAACAAAACGAATGAACTGACTCAGGAAAAGATTAGTTCATTTTGACGAAACGAGTTCGAACAGGAGAGTCACGAACGCTCATCACAGAACAGAGCAAGGTGACCATTTGAGCTTATAAAACTTAAACTTTGTAATTTTTTTTAAATGAGCGATCGTTTCGCTAGACAAGACCCTTTTTCATCGTCTGCAATCGTTTAAAGCCCTTTGAACAGGTTGCAGTTTGCACTGAAAGTGTCTTTTGGACCTTGAACCGTTTGGTTCCCATTGAAGTCCATTATATGGAAAAAAATGCTGGAATGTTTTCATCAAAAACCTTCATTTCTTTTCGACTGAAGAAAGAAAAACATGGACATCTTGGATGACATGGGGGTGAGTAAATTATCAGCAAAAGTTTTTAAAAATTGAACTACTCCTTTAACAGTTATTGGCAGGAATTGCATGACAAAACACAAACCAATGTCTTTGAGGTGGCTAAAAACATGAATAAAAAAAAACATGAAAGTAAGGAAACCGAGATATCTCGAACTGGCACAGACTGTAAGACTGATGACAAAATCATTTGGGAAGGTTGCAATGGTCACGCACACACTGAGTTCCCTGACTTTATTCTGAACATGTCTGGTTTTGGAACTGTATTTATGTGTAGCCTTTACACGTCCATAACTAGGAAAAATAACAAATAAAATAATAAGAATATAGATTAAGACAAAGCTAATGCTGAAATTAAGTGCTTGAAGAATGCATTTTTGCAAACACAGAGCATTTGAGTGCAAAACCAACCAAATCATCTCAATTAAGACCAGGAACTAATAAAAAAAAGTGAGGAGAATAAAGACTCAGTGGTGCTCATGGTATGGTTTTGAAATGCCGATTCATTACAGCATGACACGGTCACTCCCTGCAAATGTAGATGACAACCATCACCACATGGAACGTTATGACTAAGGTAAATTAAATGCAGCATTCTGCGACTTGCCGACAACGGGAATAAGGCAAATTCATGCAACCCCATGAAACAATGTTTCATGTGTACGGATATTAACAAACGTATCTTTTTTTACATATTTATAGGAATCTATTATTCAAACAGTCACATTGAAAATACTCTCTTCTTTATCAGCATCATCCATTTCATTCACTCTCCAAGTGATGAAATGTCACAAGTAAACAAATAACACACATTTTAAATGACAATGGGATCATGGGAATGCTATATTATCACATTTTTTTTTTTTGCAGCAGTTCTTCTATTGAGCAATAATGGCTCTCAGCATTCAATCTGGGATTGTAACTGCCTGCGTAGAGTTAACGTGCGACGATGCAACTGCTGCATTTGCTGCATACGGTCCCTCTGCCGTGCCAAATTCTGTGGCATTGGGTAGCGCTGACACCCGTAAAGAAAGCGGTAGGGAATGCGCACGTGGCACGCTGTGGCACGGCAGCGAGGTTGAGGCATTGGCGGCAGAAGCATCCAGCGCTTGCGCTCGGCGCAATACCGATACGCCTCTTTTCGATACTGCTTGTCCACATCGTCACTGTTCTTCCAGCCACCAATCACAAACACATCATCGCCAAGATAGCAGATAGCCGCCCCCTCGATACTGGTAACTTCCGGCGGAAGACTCTCAAGGATATCATCGGAGATCCTCGCGGTGATCTTCTGCCGAGCTGCCTCATCACGTACGTTGGTGTAACTCTTGGGACAGCAGGACGCCGTGTGGTAGAAGTTAGTCGACGCCACAGCCATTTGGAACAAGCAGTAGTTGTCGATAAGCGGTAAGGAGTCCACTTCCTGCCACTGGCGACTGTCGGTGTCGTAGCGAGTAGTGACCGTCTTCAACCCGTCATCGCTGTCGGTATCTACGGGTGTTCGCGCCGTTACATAAACATAACGATCTTCGACACTAATGGCCTTGACGTCTCTTAAAATCTTAGGGGCAGATTCTAGGTTGTGCCACTTGTCTTGGTCGGGTTCGTAGACGCTCACATCCTTGAAGCCGGGGCTGAAGTTGCCATGACCACCGATGCTATACAGGATATTTTTGATGCATGTGAGCCCGAAGGAATGCTTTCGTGTGGTGAGGTTGCTCACTTGTTCCCATGTGTTGCGATTTGGATTGTAGCGCTCCACCGTCTTGGCAAATCCTGGCTCCATGGACCCAGCCACGTATACATGTGTATCGGTGGCAGCAATAGCGTGACCATCCAGATGGTTATGGATGTGTGGCAAATTGACCCAACGGTCCTCGTATACAAAGTACCCTACGCACTCACTTAGGTAGTCGCCTCCTTCAGAGACCCCACCGACTACCATGATAACATCCATGTTCTGGCCAAATCTTGGTTGGAACGTGGCCATGTACGAGGCCCAGAACTCTGTATCTGCAGATTTGAGGTTCTCGAAGCGGATCGCGTGACCCTCCACGGCCTCCGACACAAGCTGTAGGCAGGCTGCGTTCTGTGCGACCAACGGCTCGTTCTTCACAACTCTCGTGAGATAGGTCGGCTTTATCTGTGGCAGCCTGAGGAGACGAAAGAGCTCCTCGAAATACTTCACACGTTCTTCTGAGCTCTTCTGAACCCATTTGACCACAGCATCGAACAGAACCTCCTCAGAGTCAACTGTTATCTCTGCGTCAGACAGCCAGTCTCTGACCAGGTGGAACGGAAGCGTGTAAAATTCCTCATCCTGAATGACTTTGTGGAAGTTGCGACGAATCATGTCGGCAGCACGCAAGGCCAGCTGATCCAAAGTGTACATGTGTGCAAGGCTATGGACGGCCACACAGTTGCCCAGGCTGAGCTTCCTCTTGAGAAATTCCCCACAAAAATCCTTTAATTGCACAAGCAAGAACCTGAGCATGGAAAAGAAAAAAGATTATACATTACATAACATTACAGGCAAGAAATACAATATTTGTTCTAGTAATCAGCTAGGGCCAGGCATTATGATGACATATCAAGGCAATGATAATTAAAGTGTCTATTTATACTTGCAATTGCAGGGTTTCATAATCACTGTAGTCCTGGATTTGAGTCGTGGTAGTTAGGGGGGTTCGGGGTTTCCCCGAGAAAATTTTGAATTCTCTGAACTATTATGTCCATTTTAAGATGTTTTGAAGGCATTTTTTTTTTTTTTTTTTATAAAACCATGTCAGTGGGCAGCTGATTATTTTTCTCTCCTCATCAGCATCACACTCTTTTTCTCTTTGTTTTTCTCTTGCCCTGTCTCTTGCCCTCCTAAAGTTGAGCTTTGACTGATAATTAGGCTTTTCGTTTTTGTAAAAAAAGCACACTGTGTGATAAAGCGCTTTCTGTTTCTGATGCCTATATAGGGCTGTGGACAGGGCTTTATAATCAAAGAGGTCCTACATTTGAGGTGGAGGTTTGGGGGTTAAATTTTTTAATCTCTGATTGATATGTCCATTTCAAGACGTTTGAAGACCAAAAAAAGAAAAAAAAAGAAACAACTTCAAAACTATGTCAGTAGATTTGTCAATATCTCTCCTCATCTCGCTTGTCTCCTCATTGTGCCCTTTCTCTCCCCATCCTAAAGGCTACAATTTGTATTATATTTTCAATATGTACACATTCATTATTAATCATGTACCTTACATGATGAAAACGGATTTGTTAACGTTTCTTGTCTCACAATGACATTAAACGAATTATTACATTAGGCTGACGTTACATGCCAAATTTCAGTTCAAAAGGGCGAAATTAGATGAAACTATATTAGTTTTCCTGATTATTTTTTGTTTATCATTCGTTTAACATTTATGACCTCAAAAAACTGTCAAATATATAACGTTAAGTTTAGCTACTTACATCTCGCACTTGCCACTTGCCCGTGCACTGAATTTAAGATGTAGAACGCGCTGAATCAGACTGAAGCGAACATGAATTTGTGTAGCATATTAATCACAAATTTTTAGGGGGGCTAGGCATAAATTTAAAACATCCCTAAAAAGGGCCTAGTGACGCCCCTGGTGTGAACGTATAGAGTTGGGAATGAAAATGGATGTTTCAGTACATTAGATCCATGCTGCAGTCACTTAAGACCTAATGGAACCTACTGTGATAAAAACATTGATTTCTCGATTTTATTCGATTCTCATTTTAACCAATTGATAGATTCTTAAATCCCAAGAATCGATCTTTCAGTCCATGCTGTTTTCAGTGGTTGAATGAACAAAACTCCCATCCAATAAATTGCAATACGATTGGAGCTTCGTTACTTTGACAGAATTTGGAAGCTGAGACTTATATTTTATTATGAAATTCAAACAATAAATATCATTTTTGACGCTCTTTAATGTGGTTTGAGACTGTAGTGCGAGCAAAAGCACAGAGCAAACGTGATCATTCCTTCCTCTTGCTAGTTATAATATGAACAAAATGTTAAAAGATACAATATAACTAGCAGAAATCTGTATCATGTCTCAATCAGTGTTTCATCCGCAGGAAGGCAACAATAAAACGGCTTGTATAAATGTGTCAAGTATTGTTACATTTACCTCAGAAAAGCCATTTGACGCCTATACACTCAGCTAAAAAAAATTACCCTTAGAGGAGCATTATGGTAAATATTTAATGCATGCAATAAATCCAACATGTTTTTATGAGAAACAATATTTAAATGTTTATATTTCAAATTATGACATTAAAAAGTTATTATGATACCGTATTATTATCATTATTATAAAACTTCCCTTTGTGTAATTTCAATGTAAGTAGCCTATACAAATCAGTTAATTTTAACCTCCCTGTATAATTTGCAGCAGTAGTTGACATTTGTTTCGATTTCCCACGTACTGTACCTGAAACATATACCCCAATTAATCTATATTGTGTTGAATCATAATCTGAAATTAATCAAATCACAAACCTGTGAATCGAATCAAATTGTGAAATTTGTGTCAACACATCCATCCCTATAATGCATGAATCTAATGTACAGCAGACGTTCACCTAATATACCTGCTGCTGTCTATGTTGATAATATTAATCAAAGAGCAAAAGACAAAGATAATTACTTATCACATTTCTTACTTGAATAGAGCTACTGTCCTTGATAATGTAAAAAGCACGTTTATTTCATTTGTATTGTTCTTGTATTGTATTTGTCCAATTGTTTGTTATTTACATACTTGATCTTATTTTTTAATAAAAAAAAGATAAAATACCAAAAATAATGATATCATGAGATTTTAGTGAAATAAGATGTGTCATATCGTCCACCCAAACTTGACTAAACACACCTAGGGTGCACAAACCTGAACAACAGGGTTGCCACAATTTGCAGGTAGATCTTTTGATTTTGTTAATGCAGTGTTAGGTCACCGAATTCAGTCCTCTTTATCGTCTTTTAGTGCCCGAAAGGACATATATGCCGCAAAATTATGTCAAAATGCGAGTATCCTCGTAGTTTATGTCTTGAACCCCCACATGCCCCCTGCAAAATAACGCAAGCAGCTACGATGCCAAAACAATCATGATAAAGAGGTGCCAGTGGTGATGCCCAAATGCGTCGGACACGGACTGCTTCAATGATGCCCAATGTGCATTTGAGTGATCAGACCTACCAAAAAAAACGCAGTCTAGATAAGCAGCAGGGTTTTGACACATCTATGACAGCGTGTCTGTCTCTTTCTCTCCATCTCTCACCTGTCTGCCAGTTCCAGCACCTCATGCACATTGGCGGTGCTCACTCGGATCTCGCCCGTATACATGAACTGGATTACGCTCTCCACCGTCTCCTGGTCGAGGCCTGCCTCGCTGCTCCACTCCTTCATCTCCACCCGCCGCGTCACCGACTCCGAAAACTGACCACCGAGCAGCGGCGTGAAGTAATCCGTGGCCGCGGCCAGGACTGAGCGGTGTGCGGTGAACTCGAAGCTGTTGGCGGCTCCCGGAGAGCTGCTGAACGCCAGCGTCACGTCGCAGAAGAGCCCGAGCTTCCGCTGCTCGTTCTGCCGTCGGGAGAGCTCTGAGCAGTGGGTCGCGGAGGCGAACTCCTCGGCCTCCTCGGACTCTCCGTCTCCCGATAGAGAGCTCGCCGAGCTCGGACTGCCGCTGTTTCGGCTAGCGTCCTCAGGGTTCGGGGCGGCTGCGGCCATCTCGGTGTCCGCGCTGTCGGTTCGTAAAGTGCGCAGTATTTTGAGGTGGTGGAGCACACTCAAACACACACACTCAAACATAAACAGCGCTCAACATGCACATGCGCACACATACAACGCAGGAGTTGACGTTACAGGAACTGACGCGAGACACACGAGGGCCAGATCTGGGAACGGATAAATAAAGAAATAGCAAAAGAAGAAGAAGAAGAAAAAAAGACCAAAATCCAAAGCATGATTAAACGGTATGAAACGTATACACTGTATTCTAAATTATAATTTAAAAACGCGTCTGTTTTTTTTTCTTCACATTTTTGGTGAAAAAAAAATCCACCGTTCTGTCATATCGTGTCATATGTCGAACCGGACGTCATGTCCCTGAGCTGCTGAGCACCACTGGGCTTAACCTTTTAAAGTCACTGTAAATCAAAATGGTCAAATCTCTTTTTTTATCAGTATTTATAAGCTATTATTTTATTATTTATTCGTATACAATACATAATTATTATTTAATGGGTATAAGTCACTGTAAATCAAAATGGTCAATCCTCTCTCTTTATCAGTATTTATAAGCTATTATTTTATTATTTATCCATCTACAATACATAATTATTATTTAATTAATTTGCCCTCGCATCACTTCTTCTTTTTTTAAAATTTTTTTTAAAATAATTTCCGAAATGCATACAACATGAGCCATTTAAAAACAGCACTTGAGTGCTAACAATATTTTTTAGTGCTAAACTATTTATCTGTGTCCATTTCTCCACATTCATTAACAAATCCTCTGTAAGTGCACCCAAGTCGACTCATCCAATTCCTTGCAAGACATCACTTGGTTAGTGAAGATGCAGTGTCTCAATTAAAATCAGTTCATTCACAACATATTAGAAAATTCTGACATGCACATTATGTTTTCGCAATAAACCCACAGCCAGGGTTGAATGCAAGACAAAATATGAAAATTATACAACACGAATAACCAATAAAGAACTTTATTCTCAAAAATACAATAATTTTGCACATAAAAACAACACTATAGAAGCTGATTTAGTTAAACTTTTCCCAGTGATAAATGTGCCCTTAGCAGTGTGCTTACTCAAGGTGAAGTGTGAAAAGACTTTAATTTTAGTTTTAGAGCAGTTCAAAAACACGTTTCCCCAATATTTTAGACAAATATGTGCCATTTCTCTAATCCCATTTCAAAGTGCTTTTAGATCTTATTACAAACTGAGACTATAAAACTTAAAAATATAAGCTAACGTAACATGAACAACTTGAGAGTATGCAGTAGAATTTGGCGCTTTGTATCAACAGGCTGTGGTGTGTTCATTCATTACATTAGAACTGACAGCCTGAAGACCCATACATGACACAACACTTGTTAATTTTAACCAGAGCAAAGGAAGCTTCATGGTAGTGTTAGATGGCCAATGACAAGTTTTTGCTGTTTTATAAATTAATTTGACGATTGTCATGCGTTGCGAAAGTTATCTACTCCTCTCTGTATTTTGCTAGTGTATCTCTTTGGATATGACTGAATAATTTACCCCCTCCCTTTCCCATCATGTTAAAGTAATAAAATAGACATGTTTCCACAGCTTTCACAGCTTTACATTATCCAAAATACTCATTGGTTCCAGGTTTACATAGACATGTGCTCGGGAAGTACGTAGGAGATATCATCCCACGGGTGGCGGTAGAGACCCTGTTTCAGTCGCTTCTGGTCCAGATAGTGACCTGTGGGATTGACAGTGAAAACAAATATGGTCATAAAATGTAACTTGCTTTACATACCCTGACCCACTCAAACTACTCTCCCCAGCCTGCAATTTTCACATGTTTGCCTTAAAATGTGTTTAAAGTTTTATAAACTCAGGTGCTCGCCTTTCTCTGTTCTGTGACGCACGTTTGTGACTCTCCTGTTCGAACTCGTTTTCACAAAATGAACTAATCTTTTTCTGAGTCAGTTGGTTCATTCAACGAACGAAATGAACGAATTGACTCAGAAAAAGATTCGTTCATTTTGTGAAAACGAGTTCGAACAGGAGAGTCACAAACGTGGGTCACAGAACAGAGCAAGGCGACCATTTTAGTTTATAAAACTTAAACTTTGTTATTTATTTATTAAATGAGCGTTTCGCTTGATAAGACCTTTATTCACCATCTGGAATCGTTTAAAGCCCTTTGAACAGGTTGCAGTTTGCACTGAAAGTGTCTTTTGGACCTTGAACCATTTGGTTCCCACTGAAGTCCATTATATGGAGAAAAATGCTGGAATGCTTGGAATGTTAATTTCTTTTCGACTTTAGAAAGAAAGACATGGACATCTTGGATGCCATGGGGTGAGTAAATTATTAGCAGAAGATTTTTTTTCAAAAGTGAACTACTCCTTTAAACAAACTTATAGTTAAGTAAACTTTATATTTAGTGGGATTTTACATATAAACTGTGTTAGCTACATTCAACTGTATTGTATGTCGATTGTTTTTTAGATTATTCTTGCATTGTTAAAAATGCACACGTTAATTATAGAGTATTGAACATAACTATTATGAGATAACTACTTAAAGGGTTAGTTCACCCAAAAGTCATTAATTACTCACCCCCATGCTGTACCAACCCCGTAAGACCTTCGTTCATCTTCGGAACACAAATGAAGATATTTTTGATTAAATTTGAGAGCTGGATCAGCCCTCCATAGACTTCCTAAGGGACTGGCTCTTGACGGCCCAGAAAGTCATTAAAAAAAATGTTTAAATATTCCATGTGCCTACAGCGGCTCAATTATAAGTTTATCAAGCGACGAGAAAACTTTTTGTGCGAAAAAAAAAACATAAATAACGACTTTATTCGACTATTCCATTACTTTCTTATGGGCCTTGAGACGAGAATTGAAGAGATTTCCAGAACGCATGCGTAAGAACTGAGACGAGGCAGGACGTTCTTCTTCGACTACTTCTTGTTACCGGCTGCTCACCGCTTAGGAGTATTACCGCCACCTACTGTATAAGATGATGATCCATATATAAGGCGCTCCGGATTGTAAGGCGCACAGCACTGTCGTATTTGAGAAGATTAAAGGCTTTTAAGTGCGCCTTATAGTGCGGAAAATACGGTAATTGAAACGCGTATGTACAGCGCGCATCTTCCTCTGCTTGTAAACAGAAAGTTTTGCGCTTCCAGCTATATCAGCACGTCATCTTATACGGCAGGGGGCGGTAATCTAGTGGTGAGCAGCCAGTAACAAGAAGTAGACGAAGAAGAACGTCCTCATCTCAGTTCTCGCGCATGCGTTCTGGAAATCTCTTCAATTCTCGTCTCAAGGCCCATAAGGAAGTAATGGAATAGTCGAATAAAGTCGTTATTTATGTTTTTTTTTCGCACAAAAAGTATTCTCGTCGCTTGATAAACTTATAATTGAGCCGCTGTAGGCACATGGAATATTTAAACATTTTCTTTAATGACTTTATGGGCCGTCAAGTGCTAGTCCCTTAGGCATCATATGTAGGACTGATCTAGCTCTCAGATTCAATCAAAAATATCTTTATTTGTGTTCCGAAGATGAACGAAAGGTCTTACGGGGTTGGTACAGCATGGGGGTGAGTAATTAATGACTTAATTTTCATTTTTGGGTGAACTAACCCTTTAACAACATTTTACAGCTGAAGCCACATGAGTATTTCCGTGTGATGTTGCAGTGGTCAGGTGGTACAAGTCAGCGCTCTCTCAGAAAATTAAATGTTTAGAAGTCGTAATTACTTGTTCTACGAAGAGGATGTGAATGCTTTTTACAAGTCCATAATTACGGTAATTCCGACATGGTGTAAAATCACTTTATTTTCCCAGCAGATCTTGAATTTGAGACTAGTTGGGAATCTAAGTGTCTGAACAGTGAAGTGGTTTACCGATGAAACCGATGCTGCGTCCCAGAACGAAGATTCCATTGAGAGTCCCGATTTCAACAAACTCATCTGCCTCATCCCTGCAACACATAATCAGCTGTCATAAACATGCTCAATTTAGATACATGATCTGTACAATGAAATTCAATAAATGCCAGTTAAACACAACCTCATTTCCAGAAAAGTTGGGACATTTTATAAAAGAATCTGTAAAAATTATCTCTAACCTTTATTTACCTTATAAACGTACAAAGAAAATATTTTCAAAGTTTTCACTGACCAACTTAAATAGAAACAAATTTTGATTTGACTCCACAAAAGTTGGGACAGAGGGATGTGTCATTAGTCTTTTTAAATGTTTGGGAATTGAGGATAGTCGTTGCCGTTTTACAAGTGGAATTTTTGACCAATCTCGTCTGATTTACTGTAAGACCACTGCTCTACAGTCTGAGGTCATCATGGTCTGATTCTCCTTTTCACGATGGGCCATACATTTCCTAAAAAGAGACCAATTTGGACCGCAGGAAAGCACATCCATTCTTTTGTGTAGAGAGTCTAAGAAACCACTCAGTTTTAGCATGTGCAGAATGAGGTTGCTTCCCAGGAAGGATTTCATCTTGATGGCATTATAAGTCTCTGTACAAAATATAGTCCCAATATACGCCTCCATGTCAATGGTACCTTCACACGCATGCAAATCACCATGGCACTGATGCACCCCCATACCATGAGAGATGTTAACTTTTGCACCTGTTGCTGATGAAAGTCTGGATGATCTTTGGGACTGAGAACTCAATGTTGTTTTTCTCTAAAACAAGCTGAAATGTGGACTCATCTGTCCACAGCACACATTCCCACTGTCTTTTGTATCATCTGAGATGAGCTCAGGCCCAGAGAACTCAGCAGCATCCCTTCAAAGAATTGATGTATAGCTTTCTCCTTGCGTAAATGAGATTCAAATTGCGTTTGTGAAATCTAAACAACTGCCTAATGTTAAACTCCCTGACATTTCTGTGGTTTCCATGACAGTGTGAATCCTGGCACTGGAAAGATTTAGAGTTTAATCCATACCTTTAAATACAATACCCTTGACTTACCGTGTGAACCCACCACATGTTCTTAGAAGGTCGACAAAAGCCACACCAATAAAACCATCAACGTTTAGAATCAGGTTGGGTTTCTGCAGAGAGCGAAAGAGATTTTAATATCAGCATCAAGAGGAGAAATGACCTCACAACAACATATACATGCATTTAAATGGCATCAGTAATAAGGTCACCTTTGAGGTGGTGATCTTCTCTACATCGAGGGCATAGTCTAGTAACTGTGTTGACGGGAAATGCTGCTTCACAAAGTCCTTCAGGATCTGCACCCTCATATCAGGGTTATTGATCTGTCACAAAAAAAGGCCAGAAATGAACACATACACCATATTAACAGCTGCATGTATGGAAATGAGAATGAGAGGTGTGAGTAATAAAACATTTAACAAAAAAACGCTCGATTCATTTGGATAACTTTTACTGTCTTTACATACTTTTAGAAGCTTGAATAGTTTAATTGTGTAGACTTTCAATGGATAGATAAAAATTATGAGAGAATATTACAAACATATTTGGTGTTCAAAAGAAGAATCTAAGTCATATTTGTTTTGGATTGGAACAACATAAGGGTGAATAAATGACAATAGTATTTTCAGTTTTGGGTGAACAGACCATTTAAGTTTCTGAGAGTCACATTTAAATCTTGATCCAACCTGGCCTTTCCCTCACCCGTCAAATTTTCAGATATTTTAACAAGATTTCTGACTTTGACAGTAATGAGAGTGTGCAAGGGTCCTTTCTATGACTGTTTCGTTTTATTTGTTTGCTGTCTATGAATTTGATTTGGCAGACAAATGTTTTTCCAATTTATTGAGGAAGTTTTTGTTTTCTAAGAAATACCAATAGAATATTATACCAAATTGTTTGATTTTTTTAACAACTTCATTCCTTTAATGACATTTTCCACTGCATTAGGATATAAGGACAGCTGTATTGCCCTGACTTTTTTTTTTTTTTAGTCAAGCTGGCCTAATTGGATCTTCAGATCACATTATGGTAATGCACACCCATTGGCTCTTATTTCTTCTATTTTGAATTTTTTGAAGAAAGTCACTATCTTCACAAATTAACTCTATAAATAGAATGGAAGACAGTGTTCCTCATTCATTCTTAATACCTTGTAATGCCTTTCCGGGTTGACCAACTGTCTTCTGACCTGAATTTTGGTCTGTATTTTGGTCTTTTGGTCTCACACAAAGCTATTTTTGACTTTTATATAAGCTACTTTTATGATTTTTAAAAAAAAAATTGTTGGAATTTTTTCCTTTAAACACTAAGGGCCAGGGCTTGCACCAATGTAAACCCTCTTTCGTCTGTAAAAACATAGTCAGGATTTACTAAAGACGCAGTGAAAATTGGAAAAGATATTTTCCCTTTCAGATGCAAAAAAAATTAGTTTCCCTTTCAGATGCAAAATTAAAATAAACCATGCAACGTGATTTACTAAGGTGTGCTGTCGCCAATTAACTGGTATCACCTAAAAAAAAGCATGTCTTAAAACATTTTGTGCTTGACAAGGCTGCAGAAGTTACTGTAAGAGGAGGCACAGCAGACAATTTGTTTCAATGTATTTGAAATGCCAGAGGAAGGCGTTATCTGAACATATCATTTGCCAAGCCAAGTTTTTATTTGTTACAACTGTGTTGTCAGTAGATTACCCGCACCTGATTATAATTGTCTTTGCTTGTTTGTGACCCTACACTAATTTGCTTCACTCTTGGTATATTGTGTTAGTAATTATGGAAATGAGCTAAAGTAAGATAAATTCCATCTGGGATTGCGGTCGCATACTAATTTGTCCTGTTTAGTAAATCAGGCCCTAAAAATCAAGAGTTTCAAAGCATCCATAGAAAACATCTCAGATTACAACTGTAATCATGGTTCCCTGAGAAAGAGAACGAGACCCTTCGCCTTGGACTGACGCTATAGGGCAACGCCATCAGCGTGACCGGTGTCTGAAGCATGTGTAAACGCATGGAAATAAACCATTGGAGGGCGCAGTCCATGACATCACACACAGAGCACCCGTGAATATAATGGAGAGATGTGTTGTCAGGCTGAAATGCATGGCAACGAGACACAGCGTCTCTTTCCCCTTCTCAGGGAACCATGGTTACAGTCATAACCTGAGACGTTCCCACTCTTTCCCACAAATACCCACTCCACAATGCAGCGGGAATGCCTGCTTCGCTAGGTGAGAATATGCACAAGCATAGTGGGCATACATACATTGACTGAACAGATTACTTTAGCTGGAGTCAGTGCTTCAACCCAGGGCACATCCATTACAGAGTTATATGGAATAATAAATTAAGACTCAAATTTTGGTACAAGATTTTTGCCCCCATATCCCTTCATATAAGTAATCTGGTCTCAGGCAGTGTGTTTCTCTCTGTATTTGTGTGTATTTACTGATTTGACTCGATGTCCGATGCCCATTATAAGCATGCCATCCTTCTTCATTTTGTTGACAAACTCCATGGGCAGCAGGCCGCTGTCAAACGCTTTACTGAACTGTTTAGCAGCTGCGTCCAGAGCGCCACCGAATCGATCTCCCTGCAGAACAGGAACAAACAATTCAGTTTCAGATTAAATACAACATTCCTTTTTTAGTTATTATATTTCTTAAATGTTTCTTATCATATTAATGTTAAACATCATATATAATCATTATTAAACAACTAATTCAATGTTTTCTTAATGTTTATTGTTAACAAATATCAGCAAAAATCTTGCTCATATTTTATATTTGATATGAGGCTGACTGAACTCTTGTTCTTGCCAGACTGTAGCAGAACCGGTTTAGTTAGTAAAGTTGTAGGTGTGTGTACAGTGACTGATCTTACTATCGTCAGAAGCCCAGAAGTCAGACTGGACACCAGATCTTTACCGGCACGAGCACAAACAATGGTGTTATGAGCACCAGATACAGCTGGCCCATGATCCGCAGTCACCATCAAACACATCTCAATGAACTGACATGCGTAACGTGGTAATCTGTCAAAAACACACACGCACTCATATTCAAGTAGACAGATAACTGGTCAACGCATTTCAATATGAATATAAATATGTACATAATGAAGGAATTTTACGTAACAAACCTCCTCTGGAACCATAGCAGGCCCAGCACTCCTCCTAGACCCATTTCCTCTTTGAACACCTCTGTGATGGGCATACCGGCATATATGAGCTCCTGGCCCCTTTCATCACATATACTAGTCATGAACGACGCAGGTTTTCGAATCAACCCCAGCTCCTACACACACACACATATGTAAAGCAGCTAAGATGAAGCTAGAACATTTACTAAATATGTACTAAACATTTAAATATCTTCAAATTTACTATGCATTTTAGCAGCCAGTCATTTTCATGGTCTTAAATCAAGAGACATGCAAAGTTTACATAACAAATTTTCAAAAAATTCGACCAAAATTATGCGCATTATTTTGAGGAAGTCCACCTTTATTTTGTCACAGAGCAACTACATGGCCAGAAAATTGATGCTCAAAATTTAGCTTTGCCACCACAAAAATAAATTACATTTTAAAATATATTCAAATAGAAAACAGTTCTTTTAATTTGTAATATTTCGTAATATCACCATTTTGACTGTATATTTAATTAAATGTATTTGAGAATTGAGTTATGTTCATGGTTAGCATAACTGTCATGATTCCCGTCTTGTCTTGTTTGGACTTTTATTATTACCCGTTTTGTGCGTTGTGTTTGTAGTCCTTTTTGTACGTGTAATGGTTGCCTCTGTGTGATACCCTAGTTTTGTTCCTTGAGTTCTGTTATCTTTTAAATGTTTATTTTTAAACAAATTTTACTTTATTAAATAACCCTGCATTTAGATCCTCCTCTTCGCCTGCTTTCCTCAGCTCCAAACTTTCGACAGGCACTTTGTGACATTTCATAACTTATTACAGTCAAAGAAAATCGTGATGTACAGAAATAATGCAGTTCTTACTCTTGCCCAAGAGTAATCCATCGGGACGGTAGGAGGAGGAACTTCCTGTGCAGGAACAATGATTCCATTTGCGACAAGGTCATCATACACAAACCTTCCCAACAAAACAGAGACAACTAACAAATTAGTTAAAGCATTAAAAGGTTGACAGGATTAATTAAGGTTGCTGGACTATATTTAAAAATGTTCACATTTATCTGACAATAAATCACATTTTTTTAACAACTAGGGGTGGGAAATAAACAAAAAATGTTTACTACGATAATCGAATAATTTTTCGTTCTATAACAATATATATATATAAAAAAACTACTGAAAAAATGGTCCTTTTGACAACTTCCAACATAACCCATTACAAATTTGGTAAATTGTTGTTGTTTTTTAGAAGAAACTACATTTACAAGAATGTTTTAATCAAACAGATCTCATTCCCCATTGACTACCATAGTAGGAAAAAATACATACTATGGTAGTCAATGGGGAATGAGATCTGTTTGATTAAAACATTCTTCCAAATATCTTCCTTTGTGTTCAGCAGAACAAATAAACACAGAGGTTTGAAACAACATGAGGTTGAGTAAATAGTCACAGAATTTTCATTTTTGGGTGAACTAACCCTTTAAACTTATACATTTCTTTGTTTTACTGTAAACGTTTACTGATGGCAAAACAATTACAAATCTTAACTGTAACTTATTTATCAAATTAAGGGGTCCGAATGGTTCCTCCTGTTACTCACTTGATGACATCACCCAGTTCATCAAAGCTGTTGGGCACAAATGCACCCGCTTCCCGTAGTGCTTGATTTTTGGCCACAGCGGACTCTGACTCTTGATTTGCACATGCCCCTGCATGACCAAACTGCACCTAAAACATTAAATTTAACACATTAATATGTTAGCAGTTAATTTGCACTAACATGGTTAGGTATTGACACATTTATTGTCTCAACAAATTCAATGGTCTTGCACCAATGCAGCACTCCATGTTCTCATTTTTGGCATGTCCATTAACCACAAAAGACCAAATGGTATCTTATGTCATTTACTAAGACAGAAGGGTGCTCTCGAACGCCTTGAGAACCACATGGGCTGAGGGTGCCAACTGAGCCATGGCTAATATGCAAAAAGATGTACCTCAGATGAAAACATGGTGGCACACGTTCCAATACACCAACACACGACTGGCTTAGCGATTCTGCCGTCTGCAATGCCCTGGCAGATGTTATACTCCTCTGTGCCTCCGATCTAAAAGACAGCACACACAATATCATTAGAATTACAGTGCCTTATTACTCAACTCTTATATTACTGTCACAAGTTACAGAATAGACAAAGAACAGAGCACCAGTGGATTCTACATGAACATGTTAACAAATCTGTGCCTTTTTACAACACCTTAAAATAATCTTAAAGGGGGGGTTGACTGCGATTTCACTTTCTTCATTTAAAATAGTGTGTAATGTTGCTGTAGGTGCATGAACAGTATCTGTAAAGTTGCAGCGCTGAAAGTTCAGTGTAAGCAGAGATATCGTCTTTTAAAAATCAGGAAGTATATCGCCTACAAAAGCGACTCGAATGGGACTACAATGGGTTTTAGACGTCACTAACCCACACATTTGCATCAACCCTCCCTCCGGAAAATGTCATATTTCTGCGGCTCGTCGAAAGTGTGAAAGCGGCTTACAGTAAAGGTGAAAATTATGAAAAACAAGACTTTAAAAAAAAAGAAAAAACATGAATACATGTTATATAAACACAATCATGCAAAGAAAAAAAAGCAGTCAACCACACCTTTAATGAGAAATAAAAGGATTAAGGGTGAATTATTTAAAATTATATTTGAAAAGATGCAAAAGGTCAGAGCACCTTGTTGGATTTTGACATGTGTCTATGATTATCATTTATTGATGATACGTTTTTTTAAAGGGTCATGAAATGGATATTTATGTTTCTAGACGTTAGCTTATAACGTTAGTAAGTATAAAGTTTTTTGCACCAAAAAATATTGATCTAATTTGCACTGTCATCACTTTCATTTTTAAGAAGCATTACTCAAGTAAACTTACACTACAGTGATTTTCGCACTACATCCATGCCCTCCTCTACAGCATGTAATGTGTGTTTTGATGCTCAAGAAGGCCAGTGCTGTTATTTATTAGGGCCATAAATATTTGAGCCAGTATCAGATTAAAATAAACTGATGCAACCACAAGAATTGCCTCCAAGGACACAATACTTGGCATTGGCGTCACTTTCAATATAAGATATTTAGAAAAATCTGCAACTTGTTGAGAATGATTAAGAAATGAGACGAAAAAAAATTCTCATTCAATTGCTCAGGCACGTCATTAAAAATAATCTTCAGCCAAACTCACAGTTCGATCTTTTGGAAGGGTATGCACAGTTTTTGGAGGTGCATCTCAAGGCATATATTTTTTTCCATTTCATAAAAACCCCTTTTAATAAAGTATAACATGATGTTGAGATGAGTTGAGAAGTTATTTGTCAGAGAGTGTAATAATACAGACTCCTATATAACTCCAATGACAAAATATGAACATTCTGTGACTGTGTTTCTGTACGTACAGGCCTCTGAGACTGTAATATTTAGGGAACTGTCGTAAATATCTCTGTTCCAGACCAGTGTTATGAGAGTCTCTTCAATATCATAGGTATTTAATGTTGCACACTTATCTGTCCATCCAAGACCACTGAGGAGTTTCAGCATTTAATGAATACCAATCTGTCCAAAACTGAAAATGTTTTGTTTCATAAGAATAAATGACCTAATCGTGATTAGAGGCGCTCAAATCTTTCCCATGATCTCACCTCTCCCAGAACAACAATCATCTTGACGCCTGGAGTGTCCTGATATCGGAGTACATGGTCCATGAATGTAGAGCCTGGGAATCTGAGAATAAGAGCGACATAGTAGTCATTTTATTTGCTGATCTGTTTAGCTCAATCAAGTAATAATTAGTACTTTCTGAATCCTGCTTTAATTCAGCTTATCCCGATCTACTGTATGTCCGTCAAACAAAATAATGACGTGAGTCAGCTTGATGTACCTGATGATTTTGGAATAAATTACTTTTTTTTTTACAAGTTTATCATTGTGCAAAAATCAGAAAACACAAGCTTTTGTATCAGGATATTATGCTGAAACACTTTTATTGCAAAAATGTTGCTGAATTTTGCAAAAATTAGTAAACAATACATTTTTTTTTTGTGTGTGTATTTTTCTTAAAATAATGTACGTCGGTTGCAGGTCATGTTATTTATAATCTTCAGCATAATTTTCAATTATAATCTTTTATATTTTCAGCATACTTCTGTTTTTCAAATAAAAACAAATAATCCATATATAAGTAACGTAAATAAAAATACAGAAAGTCTAAAAGGTCGAATAAGGTCGAATCACAAGAACAGGACATGCTCAGTTTCTCACCTGTCTCCTCCAATAGCAACTCCCTCATAAACCCCGTCTGTAGTGTGTGAAATGATGTTGTTGAGTTCATTGGACATCCCTCCTGAGCGGGACACATACGCCACGCTGCCCGGCCTGTACAGCTTTGATGCCAGGATATTGTCAAGCATTCCGCCTGTGTTCCCGATCTTAAAGCAGCCTGGCTTTATACCGCCAACCTAAAACACACACATTGAGAGAATCTCATGAAAAATACAAATATTTTGCAGAAAAAAAAATGAACAAACATTTTAAGAACCATGACATTACTACACTCCCATGGATGTTTGTATGGACTTTTGAGTTTGTTTGTTTGTTTGTTACTCTCATTATTGTCAGTGTTGATCTGCCTGTTACTGCAATACAGATAAAAATGTGCACTGCTAACAGTCTATAAATCAATTCATCAGAGTATTGTCCGATCAACCAGTTGGATGTATAGAGCTATAGGCTATGTCATGTTCAAACCCCAATCAGAACTTTCAGAACATGATCTTCTTAGGCAAATTATTAGCACGTATTTTTATTTGATCTTATTTTTCATTTGATTTTGGGATGAAATATGTTTTTCAACAGGCTTTCTGAGATGTATGCTAATGTTGATATTCAGCTATAGACATATTAAACATATAGCTATACAAATACTTTTTGAAATACTCACAGTTGCAGGTCCAATGATAGTGACGCCCTTTTCATCGGCTGATTTGATGAGTTTGCGGGTCAGAGCTTCAGGAATGCCTTCAGCTATGATAGCTATAGTGTGTATCTAATAACACAAAATCACTCAAATCAGTGCAAACATTCACAACAACTCGAGCTCAATTGCGCTTTTCCACAATGTCCTCTTATGATGTTCAATGTTAAAAGGTACCTTTTCCATTTAGAAAAAAAATCGTTTGAAAGTTTGATCAAGAAGATTTCAAACATTCTATCTAACAAAGAATATCTTAAATATCTTAAAGTGTAAATAAATTACATAAAGCTAAATTGTAATGTATGCTAGGATTTAAAGACATTCAGAAAAGTAAGGTTGTATAGATGGATACTTTAAAAAGATGTTACTTGTATGTTACATATATTGATTTCAGACAGCTTAAGTTGGCTTGAGGGCAAACCACTGCAGTGCACACTAGTGTTCTCCAGACACAGGATAGCGCAGAGCGGCCCTCAGGCATGTAACTGGAGTAAAGTGTCATTTTGTATCGATTTTCTGTCACTTGCAGCAAGACAACACAGAAGAGTAGCATAGCATCCTAATCTCTTATTAATGAAAGTGAATGTGAATGTGAAGGTCAACCTATACTGAGAATTTATCCTCTGGATTTAACCCATCCAAGCAAGTGCACACACATTAAGAGTAGTGAGTAGTGAACACACACACTGTTAAATGTGAATTATATTCAGCCTGTGTGTACACCCCACACACAATTTATGCTCATCACCACTGAAGTCCGTCCTCAAGAGGACAATGAAAGATCGTACGTATGGTCTAAATAGTTAATTGATTGTAGTATTGGAAATGTGCAAGGCTGCAATTTCCCTGGCTGGCCACTGTTTGTCGCCATTTTGTCAGCGTTTGTTGGTGAAAATCCAGTTTTTAAATGTTGTTTATATCTCTATGTGGTGTTTTTAATATGCTTTAAAGGGATAGTTCACTTTGAAATTAATTGTTGGTGTGTTTTAGCTTACCTCAAGTGCATCCAAGATGTAGGTGTCTTTGTTTCCACAGTATTTTCAATTTTGATATTTTTAGGTCAAACCGTTGGTGTCTATCAGTCATATAATGGAGGTCTATGGGGTCCACCTCAAAGAGCATGCACAGAGAAGTCCAAATTAAACATGATTTAATGACTCATAAATGTAAATACACATTGATGGCCTAAGACACGAAACGAGCGGTTTGTGTGAGAAAACGAACAGTATTTATATAGATTTTACCTCTTGTAACCACAGCCACGTCCAAGTACCTGTACTTTGCGGGCGCGGGTGCTTTGTGGCTGTGGTTAACCGGAGGTAAAAACAATATAAAAAGTTTGTTTTCTCACACAAACCGCTCATTTCGTGTCTTAGGCTATCAATGTGTACTTACATTTACGAGTCATTAAATCATGTTTAATTTGGACTTCTCTGTGCATGCTCTTTGAGGTGGTGACCATAGAAATTCAAACACACAAATTGAAAGGAAATCAATTCAGAAACTCATTAAAAACAAAACATTGTTGGGCTTGGTTTATGTGCATCAAGGAGCAATCTGGCAATAAATTGATGTGATTCTGAACAGGCTTCAGAGATGCTCCGAGGTGTTCTCATAGCATTAGCTACTCACACAGCATTCGTAAGTGACCTCATAAGTGACCATAATAAAAAATAAAATAAAATAAACTTTCTTAGCTGTATATACCAGCTAACAGAAACCCAGGGCTGTCATTATGGGATTTTACCTGAGGATACTGCAACGTTTCCATGGTGCTGTCGAAAGCCGAACGAAGGGAGGCAAAATTTATGAGCACATCAACGTCTGGATGTTTCTTCATAGCATCGGCCATATTCTTGTAGACCGGCAGTAAGATCTCCTTATGACCCCAGTAAAACTTCTGCTTGTGGTCACCACTGAAACACACAAACATGCCCTCAAATCCCATTTGACAATCCTCAGTGCCATGACAAGCTGAATAAAGCAAGTATTAGACATGATACAAATTATATTACATTGGACAGTTTGATCGTAAACACTTAGCCCAAGATGTTTTTTAAATGTATTTACGTGAAGGGGTAGACCATTGCGACAACAGATGGTTCATCACGTGAACACACGTAATCAAAGTCCAACATTCCCTGAACTGCCCGTGTCTGCATGCCCCACACAATTGCCTTGGTCTGCCTGCTGAACAGAGTCGTGGGTTTAGCTAAAGGGGAAGAGAGACAAACATTACACTTAAATTCAACTCCAAGTCATTTATCTACTTAATTCAACAAATCAAAACTATGTAAATTAACCCCTTAACTGTCACCGTCCCGGTACCGGGACGCCTAACTTTACTTCACTATATTTCTATTAAATCCTAATCTAATTATGACAAATTATATATTTTTGGAAAGGTCTAAGACTTCTAATTAAATATTCGACCCCTGTTTTGTGTTAAAAATTATGTAGGAAGAGTAATTAATGAATTTATGACAAGAGTGCACCTAAAAAAATCTGCATCATAACAGGAGGTCTGACCTTTGTCACAAAAAGTTGATGCACCCACATTTAATCATTGAAACTTCTGTTTTTATGCTAAAAGTTCATAATAAAACATATAATCTAGTATTTTTCAATAAAAAATAAAAATTATAGTATAACATTATCCTCTAAAAATTATAATATATATGTATATATTATCCTCTAAAATATAATAATATGTTTTATCGCCTTTTTTATTATATCACATATTTTAGTAGTTATCATAAATTCGGTATCATTTGAAAGCTTATAAACTCAGAATTCATCCTGTGAAAACTATTTCATAATTGAACGTTGCGTTACCATAGAAACGGTACTTATTTTATGAGGCTCCTCCCCTTTTGGGCATCCTTATATTCATAATTTATGATCAAAACCTTTTGTAATCTTGACAAAACACATATTGTCAGAAAGGTCTGAGTCTCAAGGTTCCAAATTTTGTGACAAAATTGATATTTGGACAGAAATTTATTAATTTATTAAGGCAGAATGTACACAACGAAATTCAATGGCACCCGGTGGCTATTTTTGGTACTACGCCTAAACAAAATCTCATGGGAACTTCAATTTTTGTGATATCAACTTCAAATTTGGAACATAACTTGGTTAGATTTATGGCTTTGATTTTATAGTAATTTTAGAGTAAAAATATTTTGTAAAATATATATTTTATATAAAATAAAAAATATATAGTACAGTATATTTGATTTACTGTGAATTAAAACTTCCATAACTTTTTCATACTTTCATTTTTTGAAGTGTTTTCACTTCAGCAATAATCTGCTGAGTGTTTTCTTTAAAACAAGACCAAACTTGGGTATATATTCCAAGGCATTCTTGAATTACAACCATTTAAGTGTGAATAGAGCATTTAACCCCCATTCTCAAAATGGGGGGGGGGGGGTGTGACAGTTAAGGGGTTAATAAATGACTATTCAGTTCTGCCAAGCAGAGAGCTGCAACATTGTTTACAAGTGTCTAGATGAAAATGAAAAGCAAATAAAAAACAATTGACTTCAATAAGAGCGTGGAAAGACTCCAAGAAACATGAAAAAAGGACACGGAAAATGAGAATTAGACACATGCGTAAGGGAGCAAACAAAAGAACAAATATATAGTCAAGGAAATAAAGATTAAAAATGTACATATTAATTTGGGATTTGATGTTTAAAAAGGCTTTCAATGTATTTTAATATATTTAAAAAAATATTTTAGATGAAGTGACCGTATTAATCCCAGCCAGATCTATTTCTAAGTTTACCATGTTTTTCTTTTTTTTTTTAGAGATATGTGTATAGCCATAAACTGACAACATGTACTGTAAGTGGGTCAATGACGTGACGCTTGCTTTTTCTGTCCGACTGAACTTTTTACCAATTAATAAACATTAAAATTAATAAAATTATAACATGTATGTCTACCACCTCCCTTATACATATGCCCACTCTTATTTCTTTAAAAACAATTGGTTTATTGGCATTTTCTGCCACCTGAAGTGTGAAAACATCATGTGGGGCGACCGTCCGGCCTTGACTTCTGTTTGGATAACTGGTTTTAAATCAAACTAAAATAATTTAAATATAATCCTTACCCTATTTGGCATAATTTTAAACTTGTTTTCCATTGATTGACAAAGTTATGAAACATTTGTACACACATTTCAATCATAATAAACAAACAAATCTTGTCCGAAGATGTTCATTATCTGAAATATCATCTGGGGCGACCATCAAGAAAATACAAATAAGGGACTTATATTCTGATAATCATCTCAAAGAGGATGTTGCATCAGCCAGCCTCATGGTGAGGGTCCCACAGAGACAACTAGCAGGTGAGTTGTCACTCTCATTTTTACAAACAAATCCTCTTTAAAACTGCTGCAGTGTATACGTCACATTTTGATATCATGTGGGGCGACCAACCTAAAACTGTAAATTATAAGTTTTATACGCAAATCTTTATTTTTAAATTTGTAAATTGTAAATTTGTCAGTGATATGTGGTGAGAAGAAGCTAACTTGGGCTCTATAGCTAAGCATTAGCCTGTTATACTTGATTAAACTTGAAAATATCATCTGGGGCGACCGAGCATCATGTGGGGCGACCGCCACTGATTGCTTAAATAATAGAAAACACATATCATGTATTTGTAGTTTCTGTATGCAAATGTTTACATTCATTATATGCATTTAGTTGTTTTAAATAACTTTTTACATTTCACCACATATTTTTTCTAAATTTCAATAATTTCCCTTCAGAGGACTAAGCTTACTTCTTTTTGATTATTATGTTTTTTATCAAAGAAATGTGTGATATTAAGCATTCATTCTACTTTTTCCAATTCTTTTTCTAACTCTGTGTATGTTTAAATATACTTTTTTTTTCTAGATGGCCCCACTAACAAGCAAAGAAAAGACTGCTCGCTACAGGCAGCGGAAAATGCTGTTCAATGTGTCTGCAGAATGCTGCTACGTTCAACTGTTAAATGAAAATAGTAATGAAAATGCAAACATTGTATGTTTAAGTGATTAATGAAATGAAAATGAAAAAGGAAAATGCTGTTCAATGTTTTGTCCAAGCGTTTAATGCATTAGTATTGAAAATTTTTATATGATGGTTTTGTGTCAAATGAAATAGTGAGGAAACTGTTAATGTTATGAAATGTGTCAAATAAAATGGATATGCTGATTCTTCATAAAATTTCATTAAATATGCTGATTCTTCATAAAATTCCATTAAATGTGTTTTAACTATCAAAATCATTGAATAGTCTTAATTGCCTGCTGTTTTTCATCATGTGGGGCGACCATTTATCATGTGGGGTAACCAACTATATTCAATTCTGCAGTAAATTCAAAAAATAATGTCTGTCCATTATGGTTGAAATATAATTCATTGGTATAACATCAATGAGTGGATACTATATCTACACATTTTAAATCAGTTTTATGGATTATATGAGTAAAAAAAATATGTAATTGCTTTATGAGGGTGACATTGCCATTATAGATAAAAATGTATTTAACATCATTTGCAATAAATGAAAGGACACATGATTATATCTTTCTTAAACAGTTCAATTAATTACTGATACTTCTTAAAATATAACTTATGCAAAGAAAATCTATTAATTATAAGATAAATTGCGGTCGCCCCAAATGACTTTTTTAAGGTCATTGCCCTATTCATTTGAGTTTAAAAGCACTAAAATATCTTTGTTTAAAGTTTTCACACACATGCATGTGTAGACTACAGTCCACATGTTTAGAAAATAGACAAATATATTATTATTTCAAGTATTTTAAAAATGGGCCTCTCAAAGGCCTTATACGTCATTGACCCAAGTACTGTTTCTTAAATTAGTGAATTCTGGTCCATTAGGGTACATTTATACCATTTAAGCCCATCCGTGTACCAAATTTTACCAATCTTTTTTTTACAGCTTTGACAAATACAGCAATTACCGATAGTAATTTTCCCAATAGACCTTCACTGAAATTGCTTTAAGACAGCCAATCAAATTACAGACAGCCATTTTAACAAGAGAGACAAGACTGGTCTATGGTCTAGTAGTGTTTTGCCATTGATTTGCTCTGTAATATTGGTGCTATGATAGTATCATAGAATCATATGGAAGCAGTATGTTAAAGGGATACTCCACTTTTTTTGGAAATAGGCTCATTTTTCAACTCCCCCAGAGTTAAACAGTTGAGTTTTACAGTTTTCGAATCCATTCAGCCGATTTTCTGATATTTAGAAGAATCTCAAACAGTAACCAGACAGTTTCTGGTCTCATTAACTTCCATAGTAGGAAAAAAAATACTATGGAAGTCAATGAGACCAGAAACTGTCTGGTTACTGAGATTCTTCTAAATATCAGAAAACCAGCTGAATGGATTCAAAAATGGTAAAACTCAACTGTTTAACTCTGGGGGAGTTGAAAAATGTGCCTATTTCCAAAAAAAGTGGAGTATCCCTTTAATTTAAATATATAGCCTGTGGTATTTGAGCTGAACAAAAATGTCTTTTTTTCATACAATGAAAGTCATTGGAGTCCAAAGTTGTTTAGACGCCAACTTTCCTCAGAATGTCTTGTGTGTTTGACAGAAGAAAGTTATTCATAGAAGTTTGTAACGACACGAGTTATACACATACATTTCAATTAAAACTGTACAAACTGAGCTGTTCTAAAACTGCCCACATGATTCACACTGGCAACTTTGTTCATACAGAACATGGTTTGCATGAAGAATTGATACGGTGAAAGCTGTCATGCAGACCAAGAAATGAACCACGGTATCACAACAGAGACCTGTTCACCACAAGTGTAATGAACAATTTGACAATCGAGTGAGTTTAAAACCAGACCCAACACTGCAAGTGGCGCTGGGGAAAAAAAAAAAAAATCACAAACAGATTTGGACAGCAGCAAATGTGCCCAGTGGGAAAACCACCAAATTTACGTATCAGACAGTTAGTTTTAAGTAGTCAAAAATCATCACTTTGCTCCGAGCAATCACACAACATTGCTCTCAGATGTTGGTTTAACAAACACAGTCAAGAGTAGTGACAAACATCCCTGTTCTCACATTCTGAACATCAGCAATCTTGAACAATCAAATCAAGAGGACCAGAACTAGCCTTTATAAAATGTACTAATAAGAAACACACTGAACATTCGACCAGCCCTGAGCTCTTACCTTTAACCGCTGCATTAAACATGACCATCACAGACCACGAATGGCAAAGAGTGGAAACTAATTATTATGATGAAGAGAGAAAAGAGATGGAATGAAAGTGAAATTAAAATAGACCAATTACAAACAGGACAAAAACAGAGGGGGAGAAAAACAAGAAGAGAATGTACAAAGAAAATGGAAAATAATTAAAGGTGCAGTAAGTAACTTTTCACAGTTTTAGTTTCACACAACACTCGTAAACAGTGTGTATTCATTTTTAGCATCTGATTTTAAGATCTCCCAGCACTCACACAATTGCACGTGTGTAAGCATAATGGCACTGTGTAGCAAAAGAACAGGTGCAGGTAGACTTCCAGTCATTTTTTCATCATTTGAAAACGGCACTATGAATCGATTTATCACCAAACTCTAAAGGGTCATTCTGTGTCAACACAACCAGATGTCCCCATAGATATCTATATAAAGGCTAGATGACTTAAGGCAGAGTTTCTATCATCATTACCGGCGGCTATCTTGTCACAGGTAAGCTGATGTAAGATGAGTGGTCAACACGAACACAAATACTCTTATCTCGTTGAAATCTTGACGGATTTACAAACGGTTTGGTTTCTTACAAACGTTATTAACGTGGCTATAATTATCTGGATGATTATCTATTTATACACTTATTATTCATAAGTATGCTGTGTCATAACTACATCGCTGATGTTTATAACAAACCAAACCGTTTGAAAATCGGTAGAAAACTGAGCAAGTTATTGTTGTTTAAATAGTACATGTACCATTAACACAATGTTACGAGTGAGCGAGTTGCCTGTGACAAGATGGCCGCCAGGTGCAGATGTCGACCTCCATTGGCCAGCAGCATGAACGAGATATCTAGCCTTTATATAGATATCTATGGATGTCCCCGGTTAAAGTTTTTGATTTTGATCATATTTTTTTCTGGTGAAAAATACAGAAATGAAGAAGAAAGCCAAAATATTAAATGTCATGGATGTACTGTTCAATAATCCACTATTCTGTCAATGGGGGGGGGGTCAAAATGTCAATTTTCACCTGAGATTTGGAGAAAAATTACAGGGGGTAAAATTACTTAAAGCTGCACTCCGTAGATTTTTAAATAAAAAATGATCCAAAAATATTTTTTAAGCAAATACATAACCAGCCAGAGCTACTTGCCTTAGCTCGATTCAAAATGGTAAGATTGTAATACATTGAGTGTAAGGATGTTGGAGGTGGAGATTTATAGCCTTTTCTCACAGCACTTGATATAATTAAACTTATCAATTTGATGGCGGATCCAGAAAGGTTCAAACGACAATCACCAGTGATAACAGATTCACCCGCTGTAAAATGCAAAAGACTTCGTTCGGACTTCGAAGTGGCAAAAAGTGGACTTCGAAAACAAGGATACGTATCGGAAGGACATTACATGTAGAGACGCAATGCTAATGTTGAACATTACCAATTTGAGAAAAAAGTATAATTTGCACGGTTTAACGTGATATGACAAGCGATTGTTAGATTTAATCAGCACGATTTACTGCAATGATTTTTTTCCGTTAGTTGGTCAGAACAAGTAGACTTGTAGATTGGTTACTTGTTCATATGACATTTTCCTGTGAAAATTATTATGTTGGTTATACTTCCAAAAAGAATAATCTGTGATTGCGATGACAGGATCCAAACCGGCACGGCAACTGACATCCGCACAATCTCCTCAAACATTGGATTAATCTTCACTGCGCCATGTCGAGGGCACGAGGCACAACTCGCGTAAAGTTGATAATTCCGCGAATGACTGCAATTGAAGATTTTGAACAGAGATGGCGACAAAGAGGAAAAACTGCAGTCTGCAGCTTAAAGGTCCCCTGACATGAGTTTATTTGATTATTTTATAATGTTTCTTGGGTTGCCCTTATAATGTTAGTATGTTTTTTAGGTCAAAAATAGTCATAATTTATAAATAAAAGGCATTTTACCCAGCCTGATTTTAGCCTCTGATTTGAACGCTCCGTTTGAAGGGGCGTGTCTGCTGTGGGATTCAATGTAAGCGCCCACCGCTGTGATTGGCTGACATGCTTGCATATGAAATAGCTACATATTACATGTGAAACTCTCTCGAATACTTTTACTACAGCTATTATACGAGCTCAGAGAAAACAAACATCTAATGAGTAATTTCCTGCTTGATCTTGATTTTCAGAAAAGTTACCACAGGTGTAACTGGTTTGAGGTGGCCAGCTCAAAGTGTTTGTTTTGCACTGTGACATGCACTGGATCTTTTTGGAGAAGCTGGAAGACCACTTGGAAGATGTTATGGCTAATATGTTTTTGTTTTTTTTAAATTTTAAACTTGTTCATGTTAAGTTAGAGGTATACCAAATTACAAGATGCTGGCAAATCTTAAATTTCATGTGAAGCTGCATCCTGATTGGCATCGGCATGAAGTTCAGTTAAAACACAAAAAGTTACTTAGAGCACCTTTAAGTTGAGCTACAGTAAAATCAATGCAAATTAGCTTGTTATGGTTCTACTAAAGTTGTCTTTAAAAGTTACTGTTGTTTTAAACATCAACTGAGCTCCAAATACCTGGTGGAGCACCTGCTGTGGTCATGCCATCTGTGACACTATTGCTCAATTTGTGTTCAGAGAACGAAGGATTTCTGGTTCTTGCTGGTGTCTGAAAGAAAAAACAAAAGAAAAAACTAACTTCTGGAAGGGTTTATGGGCCACTACAATCTAGAATTTAATACCATATTCAGGGTTCATGGAACAAAAACAAAAAGCTGTGTGTGAAGCTACTGTATGAGGTTCTGCAGACAGTTTGCGGCAGATCCATGGAGTTACGAGGTTTAGTCACAACTTCTTCTATAAAATTCTGTTCAAGCTCTTGTATAAAGTATAAACAAACAAAACAAAACTCTTTTTGGAAAGGTACTGTTACAGCAGGAAGGCAAGAACAGAAACGTTAGAATATTGATTTTGTTCGGAGTGAACCGGCTGATTTTATTTCTGTTTCAAGCCCTGCCTATATAATGCAATGTTATTACTCATAATAGTTGTAATATGTATGAATTTGAACTGTATTCTAATCCAATGACACAAATTATTATTGTGCTATTATTACAATATTCACACATATTCACACAATATTCACTGCATCGTGTTGCTGCTCATTTATAAGTTCACCTACAGCCGCTTTCGCTCATGTCACCACACCTGCCAACTGTAAATTAATTGCTTCGATGCAGAAAAAAACAAAAAAACGCTGAGTTTGTGCATCCCTTATATCAACCATAGGGATAAACTTCAAAAACACACTTACAGTTGCATTAGGACTGGTGTTCAAAAGGAAATTGGCAGTGTGCGCTGCCGCTGGAGGCTGATTGGGAATTGACCGATGACCCAACGCCATGCCAACAATAGCAGTCATGTGAGTCTCTGTGCCGAAAACGTGGATGGGAATTCCAGTAGTCTTTCCTGTTGCAACGAAAAGGGAACCAGAAGAGAAATAGGAGATTACACGTGCATGCAATGACTTCTATTCACACACACGTGAACACATGAACATTTTGTCAAGTTCCAATTTGAACCGCGATTACATACAGTATCGTGAAATGACATTTGACCAAATGAGGATTTAAGGTCAGATTGACCTCTTGAAAAAGTGACAAAAATAATGGGCATTTTGAGATAATTATGTATTTGACCATTCAAGCACAAGAATCCACGAAAGTTAACTGAATTCAGGATTGGATGCTGTCTGAGAGAGACAGCTTTCAGTCGCATTGAGCGTGTGTATGAGGGTTCGTATAGGTCATAATTATTGAAAAGCCTCTTATTAACATGTTAGCGAAATTCATTCATATGCGAAACTGAAAAAATCCTCTTACAAACACTAGTGAAACGAAAAACTAAAATGGACTCACAATGAACTTCAACGGTAAACGGTCAAATGGTTGACGTCAAAATCAATGCAGTTTCAAAGTGTTTTCAAAGGGGCCACGCACGATCCCAGCTAAGGAATAGGGTCTTATCTAGTGAAACGATCGGCCATTTTCTAAAAAAAAATAAAAATAAAAATTTAAATACTTTTTAACCACAATTGTTCATGTTGTGCTGGTCTGCGACACGCCAGGCATTACGTAATCACGTTGGAAAGGTCACGCTGGATGTAGGTGGAAGTATCACCCCATTGTTTTAAACATCCAAGATACACACGAAAGGACCATTTTAAACAATAAACTGACGTCATTCAACATACAACGATCCTCCTTCACGCTTGTACGTCCAGCGTGACCTTTCCAACGTGATGACGTAATGCCTGGCAGACCAGCACAAGACAAACAATTGTGGTTAAAAAGTATATACATTTTCATTTTTTTTTAGAAAATGACCGATCGTTTCACTATATAAGATCCTATTCCTCAGCTGGGATCGTGCAGAGCCCTTAGAAGAACTCCATAGCCCTTTAAAACGGCATTGATTTAGACTTCAACAATATGGTTACCGTTGAAGTCCATTCTGTGGAGAAAAATCCTGAAATGTTTGCCTCAAAAAATGTATTTATTTTCCACTGAAGATAGAAAGACATGAACATCTTGGATGGCATTGGGGAGAGTAAATTATCAGGAAATGTACATTTTGAGATGAACTAATCCTTTAATGTTAATACTAGGTGTAAACAGCCCCCTTGATAAGCTTTTCTTCCAAAAACAAAAAACAAAAACACTTACCTACTTCCTCCATCACTCTCAGCCCTTCCTGGTAGTTTGGACCTCCACGTCGGACAAAGATGGTAACCTCATTTTCTTTTAAAGGCCCCTGGTAGTCTTTGATAGCCCTCACAATGCCCTGATGAGTGTCAGGAAATGTGATAAAACATGATAAATAGAGCAACATGACATGATCTGATAATGCTGAATACCAAGACAGAGAAGTCATCATACCTTAAACGTAGCTGCTACGTTAGTGAAGTTAGCAATACTGCCACCAATGATCAACACCTTTCCTGTAAGGTAAGATTGGGGTGGGACAAATTGAATTTGAAAACTGAATTTCTAAATTTAATCAAATTCCTATGTTTCAATTTGATGGGCAGTGTCCTAAAAAGCATGCTATTCTGTCACACACACACACACACACACACACGCTCACCATCTGGGTGTTTCTCTTGGGTTATTAGAGAGAGAATGGTCTTGGCATAGTCGTACGTCTGCTGCTCACTGGGAGCTCCAGAGTATTCCCCATAGTTGGCCAGCTCATCTACTCCACCCAGATCACAGATGGTGTCACTAAACAAACAAGAGAAACAATTTAGAAGATCTTAAGGTCTGATCTGTTATGTTATCTGAGATAGCAGCAACTAACAATAAGCAATGTCAGTTTATAAAAATAGTTCATGTTCTCTGTGCATTCAGTTATGTTAACAGATTCATTCTTTGATTTAAAATATGTATTATTAAATGTTGAAATGAACATTAAACAAATATTATTACATACTAAAGAAGTATGTTATTGAATGAAACCTTATTGTGAAGCATGACCCACAATGATCACATAGGCAGCCCAGTTTTAATATGTATATTTATATTCAAATATTATAAAACACATAAAGAACATAGAGACCTCTTTTAAAAATGTTGTACTGAACCAGGAGGAACTTATTAACTTTTTTATTATCGAGAACCTGAAGTCATTAGTATCTATATCAATTGAACACACAATCATATAATTTTATTATTGTGTGAACTATCCCTGTAAGGGTTAAGGGTTGCTTCTTAAGGGTTTAATTCAGACACTTAAGGGTGCTTTATGCAACCGGGCACAGGATTTTGGGAGCACCACCTGTAAACCACCGATGCACCGCCACCAGCCACCATGGTCCAAATGCGTCCTCTGGGGTTCAGCAGGGTGAGTTTCAGACTGGCGCCACTCTTAGCATCAAGATCTGCTATGTACGCTTCCTGTACACACAGAAAATATGAGCCAGAGAACATGCGCTCTCTCATAGTTGTGCGCAATGGCATGACCTTTGTCCGCTCTTACCTCAGGATAAGCTTCTCTGCCAAACGGAGGAGGAAACTCCACATCACCCCACTTGGGCTTGCAGATGTAGTCGGCAGCAGCATCAATTTTAGCTGCCATATCCAATACGTACACTCCGTCCTTAGTGACCACTGCATATATGGACACAGAAAATAACATATGATTGGCGTTCTGTCATCATTACCATCATGTTTGTGTATTTTAGTACCAGCTTCTCTTAATTTTCTTTTTCATTCAGTAACAGTTTATAAGATGCATTCCTTTTAGGGAAGGTAAAGACTACAACAAAAACACTGGATGGTATAAATAAATACATTTATTGTAATTAAAGGATGGAACAAAATCCTGTATATGGCAGTGGTTCTCATTTAAAGGCCAGGGCCCATTTGGGGGGCCTCAGCAAACTTCCAAGACTTATTTACACAAATACAAGAGACAAAACAAACATTTAAAGAAGCTAAAACAACATCTTTTTAAGCTGCTGACGTGTTATCTTGTGCGCCCGATTAGGACATCCGCGACATGCACACTTACAACCATTTTTAAAAAATATTGCAATACCAAAATACAAACAATATAGAAAAGCTTGAATACAGTGCGCATCTCCATCAGACTGTAAACTGAGCTCGGACGCACAAGATAACACGTCAGCAGCGTCATTGCGGAATCGTGAACGAGCAATGACAACAGAACCGGAAGAGAATGCAATGCTGAATAAAGTCGTTGTTTTTGCTATGTTTGGACCAAAAAGTATTTTCGATGCTTCAAAAAATTCGAACTAACCCACTCATGTCACATGGACTACTTTGATGATGTCTGTATTGCCTTTACGGACAAGGACAGTATAAGGTACATACATTTTCAATGGAGGAACAGAAAGCTCGCCGACTAAATCTAAAATATCCTAAACTGAGTTCCGAAGATGGTGAACGACATGAGGGTCATTAATGACATATTTTTCATTTTTGGGTGAACTAACCCTTCAATGATCATTCGTTTTTCCCTATTTATTCCATTATTTCCATTATTACATACATTTAGATATCAGCAGCGTTGTACAGTGCAGCCAACATTATTGAAGCTATTACACAGTCGTCTGCCTGAAGTGAACCTGAAATTGCGGCTTTTGGAATCTCCCCTAGACAGTGGTACGCAAGATGTAGAATTGACGAATTGAGAAGTGCCTGAATTAGTGCCTGGATTGCTTGGAAATGCAAGACACGCTTCAATTCCTTCCAAGCTCAGGAAAACCTTATTGTACAGCTCCAGGTCAAGAGCTACCCAATAAGAACATTGATTCCAATAGGTAACTTGGGCTGCGCAATTGGCTGAAAATAGCCTGTAATAGGTGAAGAAATAGGAGACAGTTCAGCTATGACTGTGTAGATTAGTAGAGACGGGTGGTGGATCCATTATGACTGCATTTGAAGAAACAGGGAGAGCAGATGCGGTTGAGAGTGTGTATGTTGGGAGGTTGGGAACTGCCAAGGAAGTGGTAGTTAGATGGAATAGGGCTGGGGAATAGACCACTTGAGGAGGCAACCCCACGCTTGGATTGTGGAGGAAGGAATGAATGGTGGAGGTAGGGGAAAGGAACATTAGCGGAGACAGCCTCATACGTGGATGAGACACTTTGATGGATGAGAAGAAAGGAATGGGAGGAGGTGCATGGCCGTTAGCAGAGGCAAATTTGGGCCATTTGCAAAGGTAGCCTCAAATTTTGATTTATTCCACGGCTAGATGGATTCAGCTGGGACTGAAAGGCAGGAGGAAAATAAATATTAGAAGTGTGGACAGAGGAAACTGTGAGAGTCTCACCTGTGGGAGGGGGAAAGGTGACAGTCACGGTCAGAGGGGTCACCGCGGAACTATTACAAACAGCTGCTGAGCTATTGTGAGCGGCTGCGATAGACTGTCGCCTGGACTGAGCGGCGGAAGAGGAACCGGTGGCTGCGACTGAAGGCTGAAACTGAGGTGGGTTGGAGGCGAACCGCATGGATCGCGTGGCTGTTTGCTTCGAAAGGACGCGAAGAGTTTTAGTGAGAATGCACAAGCAGATTGTGAAGTTGCGGCTTTGAATTTCTCCGCAAGAAATTGATACCAGCATTGGATAGCGCTTGTCAGAGTACGTTAATGGAGCATTTTTCAACAGGAGCAAGGTGTATTAAAGGCACTCTATGCAAGATCTGTACCTTAATATAACAGCTTCAAAGTCGTTTCGGTGGTTAACAAAGTCATAATAGGGCGAATTATCCTGATAGGAAAGTTTGGAGGGGACGCCGCCGGAAAAACCAGCCATGCAAGTTTGAGAGCGGCGCCCCTGACACAGCTCGCAAGTATCACGAAATGGTTAACAACATACTGTGTGAAGCTACTTGCGCGCATTCAAGAAAACTCGGTCAGAAATGTGTAGAAAAAGGGAAAGAGAATCGGACTGTGCAAGAAACCGGACAGGAGTCAGGTCTGCATTTGTTGTGGCAGCGCACCTGTACCTCACACATGTAACAATAATATGCAAAAAAGTTTTTTAAATTTAATAATGCACTTTCATTAACCACTATAATTGTAAGCGGTTCTCCTTCAGACATACTTTTGTAAGTTTTGTTTTCATTGAAGATTTTGTTTTGTTAAACAGCCCATAAGGGTTGCGTTAGAGCAGGGGTGCCCAACCCTGCTCCTGCCAATAGACTGCCCTGCACAGTTCATCTCCAATCCTAATTAAACACATCCTGCCTTTAATTTTCAAGTGATCCTGAAGGCATTAATTGGTTGAACTGTGCAGGACAGTCAATCGGCAGGAGCAAGATTGGGCACATCTGCGTTAGAGCTCTCTGAATCCTGAATCGTTATATGGAAATTAAGCTAGAGAAATGGGAAAAAAAGTTTTAGAATTATTCGCAGTATTTTGTGTGCCCACAGTAACAATATTGTGCATATTAATTGCAGTGAAAAACAGTATTACCTAATACCGGTGAAGACTAAAATTGTATTATTTAATATTATGTATCAGTATTATTATTCTTTTAGTATTCATAATCAGATGTCTTTGTGAAGTTTAAGCACAAGAGTTAGAGTGAACATAAAGTGTGTGTGAGGATCCTGCAGAGACACTGAGAGGAGATCATTTTGGAATGTGTAGCATATGTTTTCCAATTATGCACATGACACAAGTCACAAGTTCACTGAAGGATTGTGTAGTATGATGTTGTTTTCCACTGATGCAAAGGTTTTTGTGTAAGGTTTTGTACTAGGCCTATTCTCTATAAGAAAAGATGATTATGCCGCATGCAAGCACGAGGTATAAGTTAAAGGTAAACATTTTTCTGGTAATGTAATTAATTTCTATAAGCAGCCTATAAAACCCAGCCTTTAGCCCTATTCAGATGGGATTACCTTTACAAGTGTACTGTAGATGGAGTAATGTAATTTTACCACAGGACATCTGCAATATTAATGGCCAATTCACATGGGATAAGACATCTCATCAACTAGCAGAAGTGCAACTAAATTTGCGTGTTGCCGTCACCCTCCCGTCGTGTCATGTACGTATTATGTCGAGTTCATACTGAACAATTTTAGGCCCCAATTTCACTGACACCGGTTTTGTGAGATCGCCGAAAAATGCCCGAAATCATACGCAAATCCGTGCTGGAACAGCAGAATGAACAAATCTTTTTCGTGTCATTTGGTTCATTCAACGAACGAAATGAACAAATTGACTCGGAAAAAGATTCGTCCATTTTGATGAATGAGTTCGAACAGGAGAGTCACGAAAGCGCATCACAGAACAGAGCAAGGCGACCATTTGAGCTTATAAAACTTAAACTTTGTTATTTATTTATTAAATGAGTGATTGTTTCATTTGATAAGACCCTTATTCATCGTCTGAAATCGTTTAAAGCACTTTGAACAGTTTGCAGTTTGCACTGAAACTGTCTTTTGTGTGAGTGACAAGTAATTGTGTAATATGTATTATATGGTCAGTGAGTAGACTCAAAATCCCACATCACATATTAATTAGAACTTTAAGTATGAGTAAATATTTGCAGTCATGCTTGGCTTAAACATCATTAAAGGGTTAGTTCACCCAAAAATGAAAATTAAGTCATTAATTACTCACCCCCATGCTGTACCAACCCCGTAAGACCTTCGTTCATCTTCGGAACACAAATGAAGATATTTTTGATTAAATTTGAGAGCTGTCTCACTACCACATCGGCTGCCTAAGGGACTGGCTCTTGACGGCCCATAAAGTCAATGAAGAAAATGTTACCGTGGCTCAACTATAAGTTTATCAAGCGACGAGAATACTTTTTGTGCGAACAAAACAAACAAAAATAACGACTTTATTCGACTATTTCTTTTCTTTCTTGTTGGCCTGAAACGAGACTTCAATACGATTTCCACGACGCATGCGCGAGAACTGAACTGAGTAGTTGAAGGAGATCGCAATTCTCGCGCATGCGTCGTGGAAATCTAAGGAAATCTCGTTTCAGGCCAACAAGGAAGAAAAGGAATAGTCGAATAAAGTCGTTATTTTTGTTTGTTTTTTCGCACAAAAAGTATTCTCGTCGCTTGATAAACTTATAGTTGAGCCACGGTAACATTTTCTTCATTGACTTTCTGGGCCGTCAAGAGCCAGTCCCTTAGGCAGCCGATGTGGTAGTGAGACAGCTCTCAAATTTAATCAAAAATATCTTCATTTGTGTTCCGAAGATGAACGAAGGTCTTACGGGGTTGGTACAGCATGGGGGTGAGTAATTAATGACTTAATTTTCATTTTTGGGTGAACTAACCCTTTAACTCAAATAACAGGAAACTAAGACAAAAAGAAAGCACATACCAAGTGGATTGATCTCCAGATATGTGAAGTAAAGATCCTCATACAAATTGAAGAGACCCACTATGAAGCTTGCAAGAACTCTGTAAAAACAAAACAAACAAAATAAACAAATAAATACATTTTAAACTTCTGAATAAAAATAATTTATGTTAAAAGACGAGCATTTTTTTCTGTTTTAACATTTTCTGGGCGAGATGTATATAAATATTGTTTTCTAAACTAAGTTGTTTTGATATTGTTTCTCAAAATCATTGTTAATTAAATATTTATCTTTTTCAGTATTAATTAACGAAAAAAAAAATATTTGTTAGCAGCATACAATACTATACGGATTAATGTGAATCCTATTATTACCAGTCTTCTATAAAGGTCAGTCTCTTAATTACCATGCACACGAAACATTACAAAAAACACCTGTAAATCAAACAATCTTCATTGTTCATTGCAAATGCCAGTATTAAATTTATGCTCTCATTATTTTTAATGTACTTTTAGAAAAGCATGCCATGTTAGTCCCAGAATACAGTGCGATTCATTATTGATCTAATTATCGGTGATATTATAATAAAAGCAATAAAGGTATAATAATAATAGGATCATTAAAACAGAACACAGAGACTCATGGATATTCATTTAATGTCTAAGTCCTATAATATCTACAACACTGATCACTATATATGACTAGATAGCTCATCGAATTCTAAACTGATCTTATTAGATATTGCACGTTCACTATATTTGTTTGGTTTTGCAGCCTTCACTTTGCAATTTGTCTGAAATACAGAAAATACCATTTTGATTAATCAAAGAAATAATCAACAGATTAAACAATTATCAGAAAAATCATCAGTTACAGCCCAAGACGAATGGCAACATTGCAAACATAGTTTGGAAAGAAAAAGGGATTGAGCTAGAAAAAAAATGTGAAGAAAAAGATCATCATCTAAGTGGCTTCTACAAAGCATATGTATTATCATTGCTCAACCTCAAAGCAGGAATTTCTAGCATCATCAATATTTTTTTTCAGTTTTCCAGAAATAAAAGACTTTGAAATGAGTGTCTGCAATAAGTTTAGACGTACACTAGCATTGATGACCTTAGAACTAAAAAAAATTGAAATAAAAACCATTCATCTCGCATGAATATTCAGGAACAGATACATGAACATTTCAAACTGATCAGCATACTTACTCTTTCTTCTCATCTGTAACATGTACAAGTAACTGCTGTGTAACCATTTCCTCCGTGAGCTTATCATCTATTCTCACTGACAGTTTTTGGGCTTTTGTGTCCACGTCTCCAACATCCACCCCACCCTCATGATGGAACAGCACTTGACTCCCTTCCCGGCTTGCATATATACACACATAAAACTCCTCTTCCTGTCAAAGAGAACAATTAAATGCTCAAATAAATAAAGAAACATTAAATCAATCCCAGGTTGAAATGTATGATTTTGTTAATACTTTTTCTAAAGGAAGATATATAAATGAAGATCAGAGCCAAAATAAAAAATGCCATTCATTCACATTTACTGAATACAAAGCAGAAACAAAGCTTTCACATAGGACTTGGTTTAAAAGTCATATAGAAAAGTCACAGCACCATTATTTTAGACAGAGATAAGTACAGACCATTTCATAATACTATTTATTTATTTTTTATTTTTTGGAACAATTAATTCAAGAGAAGCGATTCAATTGTAGCAGTAACATGACTGTCCTCAAATGTCATAATTAAAATGCTGATGTCTGGATGCTCATAGATGACTCGAACGAACAACATTTAAAGTTATTTAGCATGCGAAAAATATTAAACAACAAATGGACTCTCACACTGCAGCAGTGACGAGAGACGTTTGAATGTGCAGTACTGACAACTGTGGGATATAAAGCTTACAATTTTATCCCTGGTAAGGGATCATTTTTGCCAAGTAATTGTATAACAACCAATGAATTACATCAACCATTAATTATAATGGGAGCGAATAATTATTCACAACGTTTCTGATAAAATAAGCATCTTAAAATAACCAGAGGTGGGCAACTCCACTGTCCTGCAGAGTTTAACTCCAGAGCCAAAGATAAGAGTCAAAAAGAGTTTTGGTGACTTATATATAATCAATTAATAAGATAATTTACCTCACTTGTGTTACTATAAAAGAACAACCTCATCTGTTTTGTGTTTCATTTCCTTATTTTTTTTATGTGATTTAATTTTATGATCATTTATAATCAGTAGTCATTTATGTAGTTGCTATTTTATTTATCTTTTAGTAATTTATTCATATTTATATAATTATTTAATTTATTCGGCGTTTTTATTATTATTATTATTCATTCAGTAATTTTTTTTTAAATATTTTGTAATATTTATTTGATTTATTTCCTTGCTCTTGTAATGCTTGCTATTGTTGTTTAATCTTATGATTGTGTGGTTTGAAGAGATGTTTGTCTTCTTGACTTCGAGATCTCCATTTCAAGGTTTTTAACGTCACAGGACGATGTTGTAAAGCAGTCGTTTTTTCATTGTTTTTGTTGTGGTATAATAACGCTTGTTGGATTTGTTGTTGGAGTATTAAGCATCGAAACATCCAGTTGAAGTCTGAGTGAGCATTCAAACATTCGCAACTAAGATTATTCAATAAACACTGTCTTTTGCCAGGGTTTCGGCATCTGGGGTCATATCTAATATATTCAATATTTCTGATGTGGAGATCCGATCTAACATTCTAGCATGATCTAACACATGGGTTGTTTAATTCAGCTTTCCATGATAGAAGTTCTAGTACAATCTTGTCCATCCATGCTTCACATCTAGACACTGCAGTCAAATTTAAATAAAAAAATTGGTCTGAACCAATGACTATAGTGTGATTTATGCTATTTTTGAGTCTCGGCTTTGAAATAGTTAATTTTATTATCATTTAAATAATAAAAGACATTTAATGTGGTGAGCCATATTGCTGCAGTCCCTCAGTTCAAGTGGCAGCATAGTAGGTGTGATCATCTTGTCTTCTTTACTACTAGTTACAGCACATGAAGAATGAACATCATGTTGAAAGATACAGTACACCTTACTGAAATGCATCATCTCCCATGTAATCACCCAATCAGAATTTCAACCATAGAAATGCAATAGCAACATAACACCTGACGTCACATTTCCCTAAGGAAAGAGTTGCTGACTGCTAATTGCTTGTTAGCTAGCTAGAAAAAAAAACACTAAATATAGATAAATTAGCTGAAATATTTAACTTAATCATCATCATTTATGTAAAAAATCATTTTAATGAGAGAGACTGTAGCTAAGTCGATGTGGAATGCCCTTATAAAGATATTGAAACATATAAAATTGCACTGAATTTGTAATACCTTATTGTGAGCCACAAACGGCTCAATGAGGAAGCTCTTCAAAATCCCTTTCGCCTTCCCAACCTGAGGAACAGGGAGAAAAAACACTTTCGATCAAATGTCAAATTATTTATGTACTCTCTAAACTTCATGATTATTGGTTTTATGCAGGTTGAATGAAGCTAAATTCAATACCACCTAACTGCAGCAAGCCCTTATGGTGTGTTCACACCGAACGCGAATAGAACATCAAATACGCGTCTAGTTAGACACTTGAACCTTCCGCTCAAGTACAAATGTTTCAACTTGCGCGGAAGAAGTTCACGGCAAACGCATCGCCCAATTCCCAGCGTCTATTCTCATCTTTGCATTGACTTTGTATGTAATCTACTCGTGCAAATAATGAAATTCACGTTCAGTGTGAAAACTCCATTAGATTCATTGTGGTAGGCAGGGCGGGCCGAGAGCCGTGAGAGAACGGCGCGAGGTGATTAGTGCCACTGCACCGTTCTCGTATCTCGCAAAGAGAAAATCACCCACTGCTCTTGACTGAATAACATTTGTAGCTTTCATAAGGATGAATCTATATTTCATTTATCATTTATGCAGTGAAGACTGTGAAGTGTTTGATAACTTTATTCAATTTTTGTTCCTACCAGTTAGACCTACCTGAAAATCTTAAAGCACTATTTACAAGGTTGTATGGGTCAAAAACAACATAAAAAAATGCAGTGCATTTTAACAAGGCAGCGAAAAATCTCTGTCCCGACTGGAAGAAAAAAACTCCATATATTGATGGCATATATTGACTGATATATTAAAGACACAGCTAAATGTGACAATGGGTTTATGTGAAGTTTAGGTGAATCTCTGCAGAAACATTTTTGTTATGCTGGTTGAAAGTCTCCTCATTTCCTGATTTCTCTGATGTTTGCGCTGTTCTGGATTAGTGGGAGTGGCTTGCGGAGCTATGTAATGTGGTGCATTGTGGGAGTTGTCTTACAGTACTTACAAATGCACCCTTAAGTTTATATCTTTCTCGTATTTTTTTCGGTCAAGAGGGCACCAAATTCAAAAATTCTTTTACATTTCGACTATATATATGATCCACTTTCAATAAAGATGAATGTATCTAAATGTCTAAATGTATTTTTATAAATATGTCTTCTGTGGAAGGCACAAAACCGTAGAATGTTCGTTTAATAGTTGTGTTCGGTCCGAACGGTCCTATAGTATGTGTCCCCTGTTGGTCAATGTGTGTTTGTATACCACTGTGCGCAGGCTCTTCACTCAGACATAATAAATCATGTCCCAGATGCAAGAGGTCCTCGCTGCAGTCTTTTTTTAATAATTGCGACTTTTTCCTTACAATTGCGAGTATACTTTTCGCAGACTTTATTTCTCAGAATTGTGAGATATAAAGTCAGAATTGCGTGAAATAAAGCCTCAATCGCATGTTATAAAGACATAATTGCTTGAAATAAAGCCTCAATCGCATGTTATAAAGACAGAATTAGGTGAAATAAAGCCTCAATCGCATCTTATAAAGACAGAATTAGGTGAAATAAAGCCTTAATCGCATGTTATAGAGAAAGAATTAGGTGAAAGAAAGCCTCAACCGCATGTTATAAGGACAGAATTAGGTGAAATAAAGCCTCAATCGCATGTTATAAGTGTGACGATCAGCAGCCGTGGTGCCCTCGAGAGCCTCTAGAGGGCACCCTCTCCCCATGTTTGTTTCCCCATGGACTCTTTGTGTTGCATTATGTTCAGCTGTGTTTCATTATTGGTTATTGAGTTCCTTATTTAAGCCTGAGTTTTCCCTGTGTCCCTTGCGAAGTCTTGTTACACTGTAAGCGTGCAATTCCGAGCGTTTTTCCCTGTTCTGTGTTTCCGTGTTTCCCTGGACTCTTGACCCTTGCCTGTTTCCTGGACTGCTCTCGAACCTGTGCTGCCTGCCTCGACCATTGCCCGTTTAGACCACGAGTTTCTGGATTGCCCCTTTGTTTAAGTGTTTGCCAGTTTTCATGTCTGCTTGTGTTAATAAAGTGCTGCACATGGATCCGACCGTCTCTGTCCGTACGTTACAGAAGACTTCGCCAAACGAGGATCCAGCAGACTTTCAGCATCTATCCGCCGTGGTCAAGACCCGAGCTTCAATGCTAGCCTCTCATAGTTCTCAGCTGGCGAGACTAACTTCTCTCCTCGAGGAACTAGCAAGCTCCGTGCAGTCATGGTCTCCGCAGAGCACAAGCACTAATCAAGCCCAAGCTCCCGCTGCACCTGTTCCACCGCAACCCTGTGTGAGTACCGCATGCAGTAATTCCAGTACGCCGTTTCCCGAGAAGTTTAATGGCTCACCGGAAGCGTGTGAAGGATTTCTTCAGCAGTGCAGTTTATATATGAAACATCAGCCCCAGTTATACGCCTCGGATACCGACCGCGTTTCTTTCATCTGCTCACTGTTGACTGGAAAGGCTCTGGAGTGGGCAGGCACGTTTTGGGAACCAGGTCGGATGTCGTTTCCTCCTTTCGACGTGTTTACCGCCCTGTTCAGAAGGGCTTTTGAACTCCCCGCAGAAAAGGAGGGTCTCGAGGAACTGCTCTTTTCCCTGCGCCGGGGAGTTTCGTATGCGGCGGATTTCTCTCACTCACTCCGCACGCAGCATCAGCTCGCCAAACTGTTTGATCCTCCCTTAAGGACCGTCAGAGGAGCTTCTAAGCATATCGTTCCTGCCAAAACCACTCATCATGTCGGACCCCTCGAGCCCGTATCCCGCACTGGCCCTGTTAAAAGTGCTGTTTCTAAGACAGCGGAGGTGTCGCGGGTCGAACCGGAGTTTGAGCGCGTGCCAGCCGACTCGAGTGAGTCAAGTGCCGAGCTGAGTGAATCAAGTGAGTCAAATACCGAGCTGAGTGAATCGAGTGCCGAGTCAAGTGAATCAAGTGCTGAGCCGAGTGAATCAAGTGTGTCCAGTGTTGAATTTAGTCTGTCCAGTGAGTCTTCAGTTCAAGTGGGCGAGTCTCCTGTTGAAGTGAGTGAATCTCCTCTTCAAGTGAGCGCTGCATCTCCTCTTCAAGTGAGCGCTGCATCTCCTCTTCAAGTGAGCGCTGCATCTCCTCTTCAAGTGAGCGCTGCATCTCCTCTTCAAGTGAGCGCTGCATCTCCTCTTCAAGTGAGCGCTGCATCTCCTCTTCAAGTGAGCGCTGAATCTCCTCTTCAAGTGAGCGCTGCATCGCCTCTTCAAGTGAGTGAGTTGTCCAGCCCCGTGAGTGTGTCTAGCCCTGTGACGCGCCGCCGCAGGAGGAGAAGGAGGACTCGTTTGGTTCGCCAGGCCCCGGTGAGCGTGCCCAGACTCCTCGCCCTGCCGGCCCCGCCTCTGCGCCTCGCCCTGCCGGCCCCGCCTCTGCGCCTCGCCCTGCCGGCCCCGCCTCTGCGCCTCGCCCTGCCGGCCCCGCCTCTGCGCCTCGCCCTGCCGGCCCCGCCTCTGCGCCTCGCCCTGCCGGCCCCGCCTCTGCGCCTCGCCCTGCCGGCCCCGCCTCTGCGCCTCGCCCTGCGGCCCCGCCTCTGCGCCTCGCTCTGCCGGTCCCGCCTCTGCGCCTCGCTCTGCCGGCCCCGCCTCTGCGCCTCGCTCTGCCGGTCCCGCCTCTGCGCCTCGCTCTGCCGGCCCCGCCTCTGCGCCTCGCTCTGCCTGCACCCTTCAAGCTCCGGGAGGCCTTTCCTGTACCAGTTCACCACCCAGAGGCTCCTCCCGTGAATTTCCCCTAGTATTTTTGGGGGGGGGGCAGTAGGTACTCTGTGGGGGCCATGGAGGTGATCCTGACATGGACCTCTGAGTCCGTGAGGGCCATGGAGGCGAGGCTGTCATGGACCTCGCCTGTGTCTGCTCCGCCCTGGCCGCCATCACGTCCTGCTCCTTCCTGGTCACTCACGCTCCACGGCCCCAGGCCTCTCCATGTGCCTGGCCTCCTGCCTCTCCATGGGCCTGGCCCTCCATCCCAGCCCCGTTGACCTCCCCCGGAGCTCTTAGGAGCGTCTGGAAGCCACTCCTTAGAGGGGGGGTTATGTGACGATCAGCAGCCGTGGTGCCCTCGAGAGCCTCTAGAGGGCACCCTCTCCCCATGTTTGTTTCCCCATGGACTCTTTGTGTTGCATTATGTTCAGCTGTGTTTCATTATTGGTTATTGAGTTCCTTATTTAAGCCTGAGTTTTCCCTGTGTCCCTTGCGAAGTCTTGTTACACTGTAAGCGTGCAATTCCGAGCGTTTTTCCCTGTTCTGTGTCTCCGTGTTTCCCTGGACTCTTGACCCTTGCCTGTTTCCTGGACTGCTCTCGAACCTGTGCTGCCTGCCTCGACCATTGCCCGTTTAGACCACGAGTTTCTGGATTGCCCCTTTGTTTAAGTGTTTGCCAGTTTTCATGTCTGCTTGTGTTAATAAAGTGCTGCACATGGATCCGACCGTCTCTGTCCGTACGTTACAATAAGGACAGAATTGCGTGAAATAAAGTCGCAATTGTGTGCTATAAAGTCAGAATTCTGACCTTTTTTCTCGCAATTCTGAATGTATAACATAAATGCGAGTTTATTATTACAAGATTGATTTTCCCCATGCTGTTATTATTTTAGCATTTTCCTTACTTATTCATCAATAATTACTTATAATTATTTAACAGTATTATACTACACAGTTTGAACATTATCTCAGTACAATATTGAGCTTACATATCACTTAAAACCAATGCATTCGAATTATAATCAGAGATCGGCACTGCGCATGCGTAAATGACGTCACCAAAACACACACATCCATCCACTACGTATTGGACCATCCAGCTACGTCATCGTGCTACAGGCTGCAGCGAGGGGTGTCTCCCCAGATGTCCTACTGCACCTTTAAGTTCACTTAAATTGTTATATTTTTCAAAGCCAATTGTCTATGTAGATTTATGATGTCTAAAACATCCAGGTAATAAAATGTTCAAACAAAGTCTTTATCACTGTATGTAGTCCAGTGACTTTTAGTAAAGAATTTGTTTGAACATTTAAAGCCTAAAGATTTATAGCCTTTTCTCACAGCACTTGATATAATTAAACTTATCAATTTGATGGCGGATCCAAAAAGGTTCAAACAACAATCACCAATAACAACAGATTCACCTGGTGTAAAATGTGAAACACTTCGTTCAGACTTCGGAGTGGCTAGAGAAAAAAAGAGACTGCAACCGGACCCATGCGAAAACAAGGATACATATCGGAAGGACATTACATGAAGTCATGCAATGCAATTGCAGATTTCGAACAGAGATGGCGACAAAGAGGAAAAACACCGGACTGCTTTAATGACTAAAGTTGAGGGAAAAAAATCCATAGAGACGTCAGTATTGGTATCAGTGTTACTGGCCTTCATTCATAGTGATTAGTAAAAAGATGCCATTTAACAAATATTTAAAATATACTGTCTTCATGTTGTTTCTACATTATTTTAGAGATTAAATGTGAAATTATTACAACATAAAAATATATCATAAACTTTTAAGGTGCGATTAATCACGATTAATTACAGAAAAATATGCGATTAATTAGTTCATTTGTTTAACGATTGAGAGCACTAAATATAATAAAATAACATAATATGAAAAAAAATTAAGCAGTTACACTGAGATGGTTTGGGACAATGTGTTTTTGCATGGTCAATTATTGACAGACAGCATAAAACTATACAAATTAAATGTTAACTTATTGCTCATAAATTCCCCTTTGTGAGATAAATTATTTACCAAGTTTTATAATATAATATAATATAATATAAAACAAACTGAAACATCTGAGATGTATAAGCTAAATACATTTTTTTGAAATGGTGAACATTCTTTTATAGTTATCTAAACATCCAAAAGCCCAAACACCCCATCCCCCACACACAAAATCTATTTAAACAGAGGTATGCAACAGGTATTCTGAGTTTGCACAGTGCACTTTACAGCTGTGGTGGGTGTGTAATTGTTAATGTCTAAGAGTTTTGTTGCCATTCTGTGTCCATCATCCATTATTTCCATAATTGAATCAAGTCGCTCTCATTTAAAACATGATGATGTTTTATTTCATCTCTTTGCATTTGCGTTGCCTCTTGTGTTGAACTACTTGGTCTGCCACCAAAATATCCCTACAGCGACTGATTTGCACACATCATTCTCTTTCTATGAAACTTGTAAACTAGGGGTGAAACGGTTTAAATTGCAATTGGTTCAGTTTGTATCACAGTTTTAGGTTCACATTTTCGGTTCGGTATGTTATGTTGAGAGAAAAAAGGACTACTTTCAAATAAAAATAAAGAAAATACAAACAAATATTCTGACTGCAAGCAACAGCACAAATAAATACAATAGAAAAGATGCTAATAAAATAAACACCGCTTTTCAGGTAGGTCTTAGATAAGTTTTCAGGTACAGAAATTTTATAAATTAGTCAAATGTAAAATAGCATTGCACATTTTACTGTATAAATTAAAGATGAATCCTTATTTAAGTTCAGTCAAGAGAGTGAGTGACTTCCTTGTCTTTTGTTGTTATAATAAAGGTGCTCTAAGCGATGTCGTGTGACGTGACTTCTTTTTGACGTTTAAAGTATTTTCAAACAAAACGGAGGCTAGATAGACCCTCCCTCCTCCTCATCTGCACTGACCCCCCCAAACCCCACCCCCAGGGCCTTCTTGTCAGTTATTGGCTGGAACAGTTTGTTATGTTTCGTGGAGAGGGGTGAATCTATATTTGTTTTTGTTTGCCTCACTTTGTTTTTGTTGCCATTTGTGGAGCCTGGGTTGTCTGCATAGGCCGCATTTTTTACAGTGTGTTTAGGGGACAGGCAGCTAGCGGATAGTGAGGAGGAGATGTTTGCTGTATGTGACAAGAAATGTTTGAGCCTAAAAAACGTGTGACATCGTTAACGTTAAAAACACAAACATCAGGAATATTAGGCTTGCTGTCCCTTCAAGACATAATGCACAGATACAAAATAATGATACTGTTACATTTGCATTGTCTTTCTCGACTGTACAAGTTCACTTAAGACATTACAACAGACTATGGCGATGCTGGCGATCATGTTTGGCGATGCTGTATCGATTCTCAAAATCACTGTATTCGATAATTACTTCAGCTCAGTGGATAGATAGATAGATAGATAGATAGATAGATAGATAGATAGATAGATAGATAGATAGATAGATAGATAGATAGATAGATAGATAGATAGATAGATAGATAGATAGATAGATAGATAGATAGATAGATAGATAGATAGATAGATAGATAGATAAATTTGTGATTTAAATGCAATTGCATAGTTTTTTGCTCATGGTTTATGCATATGGTGGTGTATTCTTTATGGCAGTTTTTTTTTTATTAGATATTATTCCTAAAAAAAATAAAAAAAAACTAGAAATATCCCAATCAATCGCCTTTCTTGCAATTGCAATAAATCTCAATATGTCGTATAATAATCATGATACGTATCGTATCACCATATTCTTGGTGACACACAGCCCTAGTAATAAGTATAGTGAAATTACAACATTAATAAACTTGATTGAAAAGCAGTTACTCCAGTTGGATACAAATACAAACATTTTAAAAGGCCTACTGTGATTTCTGTCATCATATGTGATTTCAGCCATTCCTGGACACCCTCGAGGTTCAGGTCAACTGCCACCAATCCCAGCTTCCCCCTGCGTTTGATCAGCTGATCTGGTTTCACAACCAGTCTCTGCACGGAAGGACAGACAAATATATTACACTGAAAACGAAGCAATATTACGGGCCCGAAAACCAAGACATAAGGCCTATACTCACTTCTGTTAGCAGCCATGGGTGGTCCTGTACAAGCCGGTCCCACACGGTGTCTGCAGTGAAGGTGGCGCAGCGGAAGCGATTTTGCACAGCTGCCGTGGTGCAGATGTATTTATACAGGAACTCTTTTCCCGTCTGCTCAGAAATGGCCTTGGCAGACATCACAGCCGAGAACACTGACTACAGAAAGACAGAAAAATACAGGGCTTTTACAAACTCAAGCTTAATGTGAAAATCCACTCCTTTTAATTAGGATTGCACGGCCAAAAACGGCACATTTGATGTGGTTTTGTTAACTAAACATTTTTGACACGTCGGGTACTGTCGGGTATGCAATTTGTCATCTTAATGCATCTTAATGCATTCTTGTTTTGTCGTTTCTAGTGAAAAAACCCCAACTCAATTTGCCAAAGCACTCAGACACTTCATCAGTCATTTATCTCGGTATCAGAATACGTGACTCTGAGTCAACTAGCTTGGGGGGGAAATACAAATTTAAAAAAGAGACCATCTTTATTATTTTTATTATCTAAATCATAAACAAATTGGCTTTATGCACAGCTGCACTACTTCCTGAACATCAGCCAGCTCCTTGTTTCCTGTCTGCCATTATTGGACAAACCTGATTAATTCAGGTGTGTCTGATTATTGTTGCTGTGACTACTGAGGTCCGGCACACCTGAATTAATCAATTCGTCCAATAATGTTCAGGAAGTAGTGCAGTTATGCATAAAGCCAATTACAAGTGTGGATAAATACAACACATAACCGGCTGTGTTTACGAGGGACACAATGCAATATCGATGCTGAAACTATAGACCATTTTGCAAGATGTAAACAACACTGGTCCAGAAGCACTTCCTGTTTCAGTTTTTTAACACTACATAAAAGCTGGGACCAAAAGAACATATAAAACTGAATCAAAAAGTTAAACAAACATCTTTAAGATGTTTTCTTTACATGTGAAATAAAGAAAACAGTTACAAACTGAAACTGTGTTTCTGGACCAGTGTTGTTTACATCTTGCAAAATGGTCTATACATCATGCAGCACAAGCTATATATCACTTCACTTTATATAAAAAGCAAATGAAATTACGGGCATTATGTTGATTTAAGTCATGAAATTACCAAAAAGTACAAATAAATTACATAGGCTAACTGATACACTGTGTGTTAGCTGGGAAGGATTTGCATGCAGTTATGATGCTCTTTCTATTCATCAGGAACAGGATCCATGTTTTTTTTCATGTTAGTATTGTGTATTTACCTAAATAGTAGTTTCCATAACCTCAACCCAAATTATCACTTTATTTTCATGAAAATGTACAAAAGTTTAATGATAAAAGTTTCCGATTGTTAGTTAAAATGTGATAAAAATAATTAAATAAAAACATTACAGGTTTGCTGTACTTGTTTGTAGAGCTACACAATTTGGCCAACATTTTAATAATAATAATAACAGTGCAGCTCTAGGGGAAACAAAACATCTGTTTTGGGGACAATAGTTTAGAAGTGGAATGCATACTCTAAAGGACTTTTTTTAGTAGTGATGGCCTTTTTATTTTCAGTTATAAGGCTGGGATCATTTTGGAAATATCTACAGGCATCCGTTTGTATTGGGCAGGAAAATAGTGTTTATAGAAAAGTAATGGCAACTACCAAGGCCTTTTAAGAAGGTAGCCTACCTAAGGTGTGTATGGATTGATATTCGCTCTGCAGTGTGGGCGGCGTCCCAATGTTCTCTAACAGTACGTGGCTTTTAGATGAATATGTTAATAATGTGGTCACAAACTTCTTTTTACCCCCCAAGCGAAAAACTAACTTAGCTGTGAGTATATCAGGGCCTTTTGTGTAAATGTAGATATAAATGTTTAATTATTTTAAATAATACTTTTATGAATAAAATTAGAGGTCAACCGATATGGATTTTTTTGGGATAGACGATGCCAATATCTAGCAGGGTGGCCGTCTGACCTATGCCAGATACAGTACAAAGATGATATTATATGATTGCAATATTTCATATTAAAAGATAGTATATTAACACATGCATAATTTCGGCAATTCAATTTATATTTATTTTATATTTTAATAAAATAATCCTTCGCATGGACAGACCATCACACACGGAGTACATGCTATCAGTTTATGATTAATATTTATTAGATATTCAAAGACTTGTTAAAAATGTGTTTGCTAAATACCGATAATATGGAAAAGTATTAATATAATAAATTTATATAAATGTATAGGACCACATTCTGATTAATGGCATACATTAACTTTTCCATTACGGGGCGAAACTTGCCACCTTTAACTGATTTCCAAGGCATCTTTTATCAATATTTATAAATGTATGCATCATCTTTTATGTGAAATTATTACATTTAAATATAAAAGTGTTTATAAAATAATAATTTAAACTGAAATTCTATAAAACATAAGAATTTTCAATTTTGAACAGAGCAACATCAAGAATATGAAGTATTGCATTAAGGTCCTGTTTTCAAGGACTGAACACCATAACCAAGGTATGTGAGTGCTAAAGAATAACAAAGTAATAGCTGTAATATAGCTTTTATATGAATAACTTACTGTATGCACTTATGGAAAATGTTTAATAAACACAGCTGCATTATTATGTAAAGCCCAAAATAAACCTGTTTAGGGTAGGCTACTTCCTGAATCTGATCTTTTATGTTCTCAGCCCTGCCATAGGTTTGGTGCTTGTTTGTGGTGATCAGATCATGGGTCAAAAAGATCTCCTTCTCCTAATGGACACAGAATAGCCCGTCACACGTTAAAAATTAAGAAACGAACAGCGAGCCACGGGACATACACTCCCATTATATTCAATGACACGTTCTACACTATAGACACGCGTCGAGTATACAGTTTGTCGCGCGTTCAGGAGAAACATATAAGCCCGGCAAAAAAAAAAAAAAAGCCAAACCTTACCGGGCAAAACAAAGTCTGACGCTCTTGAAGTTCGCAACTGTCAAGCGCGATTACAGTCCTGCGGCTGGATGGTGATGTGTTCTTCTTCTGTAGTTTCCTGGTGGGTTACAGACCATCGTAAAAGATGCATACTGCCACCTACATTGGGGCGTGTCAAATCATGGCTACTATCCCTTTTTACCATAGATAGACAGTACAGTCTATGGTATTATCATAAGACCAGTTTCATGTAAAAGTGTTCTTCTTGTGTTCTAACTTTAATTAGGGCCCAAGCCCTGAAAGGGCGAAGGCCCTATTGTTTTCCTTGGGATTATTTTTCTTTACTATTATTATTATTATTATAATAATTATTATTTTACTACCTTTTGGGCACTTTTGGGGCCCTTAACGTGCTCGAAAACTCTTGAAACTTTGCACACGGGTCAGAACCCGCGGCCATCAGAGCCGGGCTGAAGCTGGTACCCGGGCGTGGTAGGGCGGCTCGTCAGCGCCCCCTGGAACGGGGTCCGAACACTTGGTCCATAACTCAAACACGCTTGTATGTAATAATATGAAACTCGGTACACATGTTGATCTCATCGTTTCATCTATACCTCGCGCTCTTACTTTTTACCCCAGCCCAACAGGAAGTCGGCTATTGAGGTTTGTTTGTAAAACGCTCGCAATGGAATGTCATATACTCCTCCTAGAGCAGGGGTCACCAAACTTTTTTCTCTGGGGGCCACATTATTGTTCCTGACTGTGATGGGGGGCCGGGCTATATAAAATAGAATTGTGTGACCAAGACCAAACTGACCACCAGCAGGCCTCATAGTAGAGATTACTAGCCTGGCACAGCCATATTTGTTTATCATTAATAGTTGTTTGCAAAAGTAGTAATCGAGTCTTCACACTTTGTTTTAATTTGAAATACCACAGATTTTCCATTTATTTATTTTCGAATACAAATAACATCAAACCTGTCAAGGTAAGAAACATCTGCCTAGTTGAGGTGAGTGGCACTGGTAAGGATGAATGAAAAATTATAAATTATAGGTAGGCCTGTTACTATTTATAATAATTGTGTACAGCACTTAATAAAGGTCAAATAAATAGGCCTATAAAATAAATAAATAAACATTGAAATTATAACAACAACATGAGTAATAGAACTAGTCAGCTCTTATGCCTATCCAGGTGAGCATGCTCAATAAACAACAAAATACCAAATGCAGACATGTTATTATTTTCCAAAAAGCAATTTAAAAAAATAGGCCATGACGACTTTTGGGGATTGCCGGTTCAAGTAGTGGGGGGCAGAGGGGTTGGGGGGCCAGTCAAAGGGGTGTGGCGGGCCTGATTCGGCCCGCGGGCCTTAGTTTGGTGACCCATGTCCTAGAGCTTTGATCCAAATTCGACGAAACTCGGTCAGCGTGAAGTCAAGACATTGAGGATGAAAGTTTGCGAGGGGATTTTTTATATCTCGAACGGTTTGTCCGTGGCGAGGAAACGAAATCATGGCGAGAAACGTGAAACAGGAAGTGTGTTATAACTTCAGCATACATTAACTGATCTTGATGAAACTTCAGCAGTTTGTTCGCTGTAAGAGGACGATCACATGGATGTGACTATTGTGAGTCAAAGTTATAGCGCCACCAACTGGCAGCAGGAAGTGTGTCACTTTCAAAATGCTTTGATATCACCCTTTTATTTTTACCCGATTTGCTTCAAACTTCATATGTATAATGTAAACATACGGCAGATGTAGACCTGTGAATGGATTCTTGATATCTTTGAAACTGTTGCCGTGGCGACGCATCAAACTTTACCCTTCTTTTAGGATGCTTTTTGGATGCTTTTGAGACCCTTAGCATGCTTCAAATTGCATGAAACTCGACAGACACATCACATTTATTAGCCAGTAGACATGTGCAAAGTTGCAGAAACGGGCGTGGTGAGGGCTCAGTAGCGCCACCTTTTGACAAAAGTGGGGTTGTTAGTTTTAACTAGAGTTACAAAAATTGGTATGTATATTGTACTCCTCGAGCCGGACAACTTTCTAATTGACACTTATCAGCTAGGACCCACAGAAAGTCAGATATTTTTGTTTGAATATGGCCACTCTGAGCCTACATGTCTCTGTGTCTTTGGCTGGCTGGCTGACTGTCTGTGTGTGTGTGAGTGTGCAGGGGGAGGGGGCTTAACCATTTCACTGCTGTGTGTATGACCTGCATAAAGAAAATACATTTCTCAAGCCTGGTATTTTTTAAATAAGTTTTTATTTTTATTTTTTATAAGTAAAGGCATATAACTAGTTTAATTGTAGTGAATTGACAATAGTTTTATATAATTAGTTTATTAATCAGATTAACTTGGTCAATAAACTTGGTCTGAAAATTTGGTCCATAAATCAAACACACTTGCATGTAATAATATGAAACTTGGTACACATATAGATCTCATCGTTTCATATATACTTCACACTCTTACTTTTTACCCCAGCCCAACAGGAAGTCGGCTATTTAGGGTTGTGTTTAAAACACATGCAATGGAATTTAAATTATTGCTCCTAGAGCACTGAACCAAATTCGACGAAACTCGATCAGCGTGAAGTCAAGACATTAAGGATGAAAAAGTGCCACGGGATTTTTGATATCTCGAACGGTTTGTCCGTGGCGAGGAAACGAAATTATGGCGAGAAACATGAAACAGGATGTGTGTTATAACTTCAGCATACATTAACTGATCTTGATGAAACTTCAGCAGTGTTTTCGCTGTAAGAGACCGATCACATGGATGTGACTATTGTGAGTCAAAGTTATAGCGCCACCAACTGGCAGCAGGAAGTGTGTCACTTTCAAAATGCTTTGAAATCACTCTTATTTTTAACCGATTTGCTTCAAACTTCATCTGTATAATGTAAATACACGGCAGATGTAGACCTGTGAATGAATTTTTGATATCTTTGATACTGTTGCCGTGGCAACGAAACAAACTTTAACATTCTTTTTTGATGCTTTTGGGACTCTTAGCATGCTTGAAATTGCTTGAAACTCAACAGATACATCACATTTATTAGCCAGTAGACATGTGCAACTATGGCAAAAGATTAAAGTAATGTCAAAAAAGTAAACACTAAAAGCCTCATATCTTCTAAAAATGTAATTATAGATCATTTGTTTCTAAATTAAATTATACAAATATTGTAACTTCCCCAATTTTCCCTTTTTTCATTTAAGAATTATGTTTACGTTCAAAAACAGCCAGAATTGTTGTAAAATTCAGAAAAAAATAATAATCTGAGTCATCCGTAGTGCTATACTGCCCTCTTGTGTTCAATATCAGGTAGGCCTATTGTGTATATTCCCACCGGTTAATCAACGTGTGACTCCGCTGGGACTTGGGAGCTTTTAAATCGCTTACTTAAAACCGAAAGTCAAAATACGGATGTCCGCACAAGACATTAATGGTGTGGAGTAGAGCGAGCATTTTAAATAAATTCCTATTAAGTAGGATTGAACTAAACAGAAAGAATGTTCACTCTGTTCTGCTGGTTCCTCGCTGGTGGATCATATGATTACTTTGTCATAATCTATGACAAAAATGCTATTATAAACTATATTAATAATAGATAATACACATTGCTCTTATTTTTAAAAAATACATTCATGAAAAACAAGATAACAAAAATCATAAAAAGATATAGCCATGGCTGCTATAAATGTTTGAAATGCATAGGACAGATGTTTAATGACGCAGCAACATATAATTGAAAGGCAATTAATAATCTGTCATTACGTCACTGCATTATGATATTACGGCTCTAATACGGTGCAGCACAAAGCACTTATGTGCATCCCGAGCGGAGAATGATGTGCTTGAAGCCACATGAAGTTACAGCGCATTGAGTCCGTATTGAAAAGTTCAAAGCACAAAGGAAATACATATTTATGAACAGTGTATTATACATTATCTATCTATGCAATAGTTTATTGAGCCTTTTCTTTTTAAGGTTTTAAATTTCAGTTACTGTGTGCGTGAAGAACAATTATAGTGCTCTGACTCTAGTGTTGTGATCTAACCGACAGCGTCTGACACCCGGTAGAAAGTAACACGATTAAGTTACAGCAATAAAGTCCAGCAAGAAAAAGTTTCTTCATTCGAAAATATAGACCTTTAGACTTTTATCTTAAAGACCCAGTATAATAGGATTAACATTGAATCATCTTGAAGATCGTTTCATCGTTGACTGTAACCGAATGCGACGTGCTGTTTGAATGCTGAATGGAGAATGACTGACAGGCGCAGAGAGGGAAAAGTTTACGTGTTCTTGAATTTAATGACTTAAATATTAATTTCTATATCACATAATAGCTTCAGAACACTAATAATACAGTACACAAAAACTTTATGGTACTTTAGAAAGTTTTTGTGCCTTTGTGCCTTATGTAGCATGATGATGCTGTTGTCTGGCTCATGTCTCCCTAAGTGACTTAATTTGCTGCAGCTGTGAATAGTTCTGGGCAGTTAATTTTGAGCCAATCGCGAGGGCTACACCTCTTTTATAAACCGGGACTTTTATTTTGACAAATGGTGTTACCGGTACGCGTCCTGTTTACCTGCCCAGCGACCTGATGTCTGCCTGGTTATCGGTCTACCGAAGTGCCGCGAGTATGGTTGGCTTCATTTCTCTTCTCTTTTAACTCGTTAACTTTATGGCTTGGGCTTATAGGGAATGTTTTGTGCTATAGGATCCCTGGTGCAGCAGCAGCCCTTTCACCAGCTGAGCGTGCGCCCTGTGGTCGGCAAACAGAGCTCAGGGCTTGTGAAAATCATAGGTATGTTGCTATACGGAGTAATAGTGTAAGGGTTAATGTGGGGACTATTTGTAAATTGACATCCTGTGCATTTTAGGGAGTGCTGTTTAACCGGGGGTGCGGCCGCAAGTTTGCTTCATCGATACTGAACATCTGCTGCTTTGCTTATACTCTTCACATTACATGTTCATGGATTTAAAGTTACGTCGTACCCGGCTGCCTTATTCACACTCGGCACAGGAGTATTGAACTCAATTATTATTATCTCAAGTTAACAGGTGGCTGGCTAGCGTGTTACATCGTTGCCTGTTTA